ACATAATTGAACACAGTCACTTAACTTGTTGTCTAACTGGTAGGAAGTGGCTTGATGCTGTGGGGTTTTCATGCAGTTTGGATCATGATTGTTTTTTAGTAAAGGACATACTGTAACAAGGGCTGATCAAAACCATAGGAAACAACAGCTAATGTAAGCTGAAACTACAGTAAAAGTGTGAAAATCACACAATAAATGCATCGGGAAATTGCAATAAATTAAAATGAGAAAAAGATTTCAATTAGCCTTTAAAATATGTTTCATAAGGCCTACCTGGTGACGATAGCAAGAAGTGAGGACCTGTGACCTGCAACAAGACTGCGAGTGCTCATTCTGAAGGCACCCTGCAGACTTGAGAATGAAGGTCCTGTATGAGCAGTGCAGGGCCGTGGCTGGAGCCAGGCACCAGAGCAATGTTGGAAGACTCAGGATATTGTTGGCTTTTTAACCAGTACATTACAGCTTTTTTTCTCCCTTGTTGCGTTTCCTCTGCAACAGATCCCAGTTGATCCCGTGGGGATTCCCAAGCCTTCCCAGCCAACAAGACATATCGTCCCTCTCGCATTTGCAAACAGTTTTTTTGTTTTGAAGATGTTTGAGTGCGTAGCTGCATGAGCATGCAAAGGAACAGGTAAAGGTCTATTCCATGCTGAAAGGAAAAGGGACACAATGAGTCTGCTTCAGGTGTTAGGGTTAGTTTTTATAGTTTTTTTGTTTTCCTATGCTGTCCCCTTCTGGATATATATGGTCATGACTATACTTTAAAATTTAAAAAGGTGTTTTTGGTACTTGTGGTGCTTTACAAGAAAGACTTTGGCAGTTATTTGTAAATTTCATTTTTCCCCATGCCTTAAAGTTAAACACCTTTCAAATCTCTCTGCCAAACAATAACAGTAAGTCAAACAGAATTTCCAAAATTATATTTGAGTTAAAAAATAAATTAAATGACATTTTTCTTGTCCATTTCTGTGATGTTTCTCACTGGACATGGAACATTGAAATCCTGCATGTATTCTCAGAAAATTAAGAGATTGTATTTACATCCAGTGCACTGAAATAGTTTATTTTACTGATGTTTTATCAGCTCTGTATACTTGTTCCAGAACAATTAAGTAAAGGTATTACATAAGTATGAGTTACTCATGAGTACTGAGTACTTTTTTTAATCTGGTGTAAAAAAAACAACAGGAAGGGGGAATTTGAGCCATCTATTCGTAGCTCATTGATCAAAGCACTTAATTAAAGTCAGCTATATTTGAACACTCATTTTACTGTCCCATTAGATAAAATGTAACAAGCAAATCCTTTGAATTCTAGAGCCCTTAAGTCCTACTATAACATTACCTTTCACCCCAAGCCATGTAAACTCTGGCCATGGCTGAGCTTACTACCAGAGAGGATTCGGAACACAGGCACTGTACTGATGTAAAATTCATGGGAGGCTTTTTCTCATACAACTTCCCAGTGATGAGAAGGCCTAAAAGACATTCATAGGGCTTTCTAAGGAGCCTGACAGGTGCCCTTGATGCTTTTGTCAGAATCATCATGATTGATTATGCCCAAGAAAAAGACTGGAAAGAGAGAGAAATCCTTTGAAGATAACAACATTCCTTTGCCCCGAAACCCTTGCTTCAAAAGCAAAAGGCCTACATCACCTGTCCAGCAGAGTGTAACAATTTACATGATTTGGATTTCAGAAGGTCCTTTTTATAAAAACCCTTTAAGGTCCTTAGATTATGTTCAGAACTGATTGTAAAGTCTTGCATTGTCGTGTGTCCTTTTGTTGCATTTAAGAGTGTTATGAGTTCACCAGCACATCTCACAAAATGTGAGTCAGGGAAAAGGAGAACAAATTATAGTAATTTGTAATATGGCCCAAAAGATCAAGACAAAAAAATGAAATGACTATAGAATTTCTTTTCATACTAAGTCTATCACCATTCTCTCACTGTACTGTACATTAGTGTTAAATTACTTTCTGAATTTGTCTGAATTGTCTTAGCACCATTAAAGTCAAAACAAACATTTTCTTTCATTCTGAGTGAAAGTACTTAATGCCTAGGCCTTTCGAAAACATTTCCAACAGAATGTTTTGGAAGTCGTCTAGGCAACTGCAAGATACAGTAGCCTCATGGGGAAAGTTGGAGGCTGACCCAGAGGACCAAGGACTCTTCCTCCGGATGGGATGCATCACAGGGCCACACTGCCAGGGGCTAACAGTCACACTGCCGTGCTGTCAGAACATGACTTGAATCTGAAAGGATAACAGGATCACCTGTTAGGTCTAATCATAATCATATCAGATTTGTCAGTGGACAGTGCTAAACAGTGGCATTTTTAGAAGCAGATATAGTGCTATTTTATTTAGAAAGATGGATTCCTGGATTTCTTCTACCTGCATTTATTCTACCTAATTTTTAAAAATCTTTGGGTGGTGTCAAGCATGAATATTATGATTATTACGATTCGCTGTCATTTTAGTTTTTCAGAAAACTGAACGATGAGATATGTTTACTTGAATTAAAAAAGCCCATCCCCACACAGTTTTATTTTTTGCCCCAGATTAATCTAGGTTGTAGAGATCACTATTCCTGTTCTCACCACATCAAGTGCTGATAGTAATATTACTGACCACAATATTACTTACATTCAGTGATTGTTTAGAGACCTGATCAAATTAAGTGCTGCATTTGAATTTTACATACTGCAAAAAGGGTATGTAAAAATAGCTGCTCTTACAATGTTCTGCAGATTTGTATTTATTAAAATGGATATTACATATAGAAAGGTAAGAAGGGTAAACGCATTTTTGCATTGCACTGTTATTTTACAATGCAATTTGCTGCTTTGTTTAAAAACATCGATTTCATCTTCATTGAGTACTTTCCATTAAAATACATTATTTGGCTACAAAACTGCACCGAAATTTTAAGTCTTTGATGGCAGCCATATCTGACAACACAAACTCTTTGCATTACTGCATGCTAACATCTTCAAGTTATTTATACTACACAGCATATTAGGTAGTATGAATTGTGTTTTGTGATATGTGGTTTTCTATTCCACATAATACATACTATAATCTTGGAAAACTGTTTTAATATTAATAATGCTTAATTGCTTTATGTTCGTGTTGGAGTCTTGGTTCCCTCAAATGCCAGATGAATTTGATTGCTGCCACCTAGTGAGGCAGCTACTCTGGTACTGTACATGTACAGTAGTATTAAAAACAGGTTTTAATGGTTAAAGTAAAACTATTTTCTATTTAAATCTAGGCTACACACATGGAGATTATTTGGTTAAAAGTATTGATATAAAGTAAGAATTTTAAAAGGGATTCAGGACAAAATATTTTGTCCACTTCCATGTCTTTTTTTGCCAACCAGAGTTCCAATTGCACAAAAAAATAGAGTAGGTCTAATAACTTGTGATTATGTTTTTTAAAATTAGTAAATACAGTATATATATATTTTTAATGTGACATTGTCAGCATGTTACTGACAGTGGTGGCTTGAAAATGCCTTGAAAGTGTGTTACATTGATGCTAAGAGTTATGAGTGTCACAGTTAAGCAATCCTGACAGTGCCATTTTACAATGAATTGGTTGCTTTTATATTTCTGAGTCAAGCAGCACTAATTGAATGCAGAAATAATTTAATGACCCGAGGTCCACTGTGGTTCTAGAGCTGTCATGACATTACATTCATTTTTTAAAAGACCACAAGGCAAAGAGTCAAGAACCTCAATAATAAGGCACCTCTAGGTTGAATTTAACCAATGGATCTCTGCAGCACTAAGAACAGTTTGGTGTGCTTGACTTACACCTATAGTGTCATCCCACCTGAGTCTGCACATCATTATTTGATCAATTGTGAGAGGTATTTAGAAAAGCTGTTGGATAACAACAATTTTAAACAAAGTTTTGTTAACTGCATTCTTTTGTTCACTGATCAAGCAATTATTCTAAGTTCTGATTGTCGAAAAAGCAATTAAGAGATTATTAAGCTTAATTAAGAGCTCAATTGGGATGAACACCAGAGCCACTACTCCAGTAGTGGAAACAGTTCTAAAATGTATGTGTATAAAATATAAATTTACATATGTAAATGTCATACATTTCTATTGTTATGCATTCAGTAAAACAACTGCAGCTCATTGTGGCATCCATGGTACAGGTAATGTTTGGGCCTGGAAAAGATATGTACAGTATTATACAGTATATATGGGATTTCCCAGATGCACGAATGCTGAAACTAATTGCACACACATTCTCTAAAAGAAACTGCACATTCGACCTGTGACACCTCACAAAGCATGTTTTGATCTTAGGAAATCTCCTTTTTGATAATTTTCTGATATCCGGAGAGGGTGTTGTCCTATACTTTAAAACTTTTTAAGTTCTTTAAAAAAATAGTTTTCTTAAAAGGTTATTTCAATGTAAATACAAAAGCCCACGTTTTCAATACAAAATTACATTTTTTAGTTACGTGTATGGTGGAAAAAACAATGTGTGTTATGTGGACACTCTGTAACTGGCAGAGAAAAAAAGAACTTAAGAAACAAAACAGCAGTGTTGTAATGTTCACTGAATCTGCTGTCAAGAGAGTCATAAAGAAGGATGAAAAAACAGCTGCTGTGCACACATTTTTTCCATTGGTTTCCTTACCCTTTTGACCTCAGTTGTAGTTCACTGCAAAGTTCACTCCCGCTAAGGGGTCTGGGGCAGAAGAGAAGATGTGTATGAGCACATCAGTCATTCACCAGGTCTACTTGAGGTTACCTCTGCTGGCAGATGGTGTAAAACTGTTTTCACAGGTGCAGAAAGGTGGAATACCATGTTACAATACTTCTGGACATTTCGAAGATCAAATGCTTTGGATTACTGAGATTGTAGGACACTTTATGGAGGTGACACTTCACCCCAACAACCCACAACCATCAAGCCTAACCTTATTCCTGACCATCAACTGCAAAAACACAAAAAAGGCTTCAAATTTGAGTTTGTTTCTTTTTTATTAAAATCATACAAACATTTTCATCAGTTATATAAAAGAACTAAGTGGTTCTGTTAGCGAAATGCACGTTGCCTTATGCACTCATTGCCACAGAGCCTTTAGGTTTAACTAAGACTAGGGCCAAAGAATCCCTGCTATAAAAGTCATCAAATATTGGCCAGAGAAGCCTCTTCATACCAGAACTAAATCTAATAAAAGTATAATGTATTTACAAATATAGAATCATGGTTACTTGCAATTATGGTCTTATCAAAATAAAAGTAAAAAAGAACCAAAATATGTATATTACAGGGATTGCTTGATGCAACTGACAGAAAATGCATCATTAGTAATAACAAAAACAATAACGCATTGCTACAGGTGTTACAAGATATTTTCAAACGATAATACTTAAGAACAGAGTTTTGGCAGTGTTCCTTTCTCAAGTTGCAAGACAAAAATAAGGCACATACCTTATGAACACTTAAATGTTTCCATTTCTCTTTATATGGGGACAACACACACAACGTCATCAGAAAAGCACAAAGTTTTCCGAAATGTGCTTCTTTCGTTACAAAATAACATTAATGAATAAAAATAAGAAACAACAAAAAAGTACCTAATTTTTATACACATTCATACCAAAAAGTGTATCACAAAGTGATATAAAAGAGGTATGCTCTGGAACAAGAGAGACCAGATGGTATCTAGTCTAAAAAATAAAACAAAAAAGCGTGTTTTGTCAGCAAAAAATGTGAACGATTTACTTAGCTAGAGAATGACTTTTTAATATACAGTATGTCCCAAATCTAGGCAATGTAATTTCAATATAATAAAAGCAAGAGGAACCATCATCAGTAAAAATGCAGTTCATTGGAGCAATACAATCGCATTTTATTTTGTTTGAATGCATTTAAAACAAATTGAAAGACAACAATTATAAATTGAAATGATGCTTTCCTTGCGTTTAGGGTTGTCTCTGTACTTTTAAATTGCATTTTCACATGAAATGTATACTATTCAAGGTGCTCACAAAATATGCAGTTTACCCAGAAAGCACATCAACACTTCAGAGAGTTCCATGGAACAAAATATAAAAGAATAAAACCAAAAGGCCTAAATATGTAATTCACAGATGTAAAAAAATGTTATATACAAGTACGTACCAATAAAACAGTGTAAACACAAAACATTTCTTACATGCAACCCATGGGCTACTTTACACTTGCCCTCACAAGATTTAAGACTTTGAAATAGTCCATGACGAGGACAATAATACCTAATCTGTGTTTTTAGAAAACCACGTCACTTGGAAGACCTAAACCAATGAACACTGATGTACACATGTTGGCAAAAAACAAAAACAAAATACATAAAATTAAAACTTGGGTCCAGTTGAATGTAATTTATCAACCCGTTTTAGCCTGTCATACTGACAACTTAAGCAGGTGTCCAATGTAATTTTTCTATGTTAAGTCACTAGATGGACCAATTAACATACTGTACCAACAAAGACAGTGTTTACATTTGACCTTGTTACAACATGCATTATATCAACATTTTACAGCAAAACAGTGACAATACAGAGAATACTGTTATAATGACATGAAGAGAAGACAATTTCTTCTCAATTTGTTATTATAAAAGAATATAAAAGAAGGCCTTAAAAATAGTCTTCATTCCAGAAAAGGAATATAAGTTAAAGGCATCCCTTTCCAGAGATAAGATGGCTACAAAAGTAATCTTTTACATTTCCTTTTTTTCTTCTTGATCATTTTATTAAGTCCCTTTTTCCTTATGTCCCACTTGCCTATAATGCACGTCTATTGCATGATGGCAAGAAACTTGCTTTCTTCTGCAAGGGAGGTCAGCAAAGAACTCATGTCCCCAACAGCCATGTTGGTGTGGCTGACCGGCATACCGTGGAATGTCATTGAAGCTCGAGGAGTTGTGAGACGGGAAGAGTTTCTGGAAAGGTTCTGAAAGATACTTGGACTCAAGACCCCAGAAATTAAGCTGGCGTGATCTCCATCATCCAGGATGGCATCAAAATCTATCTGTACGTTGTCTATGCTGTTGCTGTCCACTGTGCTGGTGACCTGGTTGGTCCCTGGAGACAAAAGCTCAGAGCTGTTGGCAACCACTGCTGAAGTACTCATCTGCTGCAGCATGCAGGTATTCTCCTGGCCAGAAAATGATGAAGGCTTCATATCATTTGGGTTGAAGCCTATGCTTTGGTCAAACCCCTGCCCAGGGTAACTCTGAATTCTAGAGCAGTTGTTAGGTTGGAGGTGGTCAGGCATTTCTAGCTTGATGCCAGTGACCTGGAATGTTGTACTTCCATTTCTCATTGGACCCTGCTGTGCTGTTCTCATGCTCACATGTTGCCTGCTGCCATTGTAATTTACATTAACTTGTTGGTTGACCGCAGGCATTTGAGAGTTGATATGCATCTCCCAATGTTGAGTGTGTTGGGAATGAGAACCGTAATGTCCCACATCCTCGGTATTTTCTTGGAAGGCCAGACACTCATTTATCTGCCGGCCAACAGAATGGTTCTGCATGAAACTGGACTCATTAGGAGACCTTGTCTGCTGCTGCCCACGAGCTTCTTGGCGTGGTTCCATCACCGAAAGCTCTGAGAAGTCAGGCTGTTTATCTTCCATTGGTAGAATACCATTTCGTCTAATCTCTGGATCCAGTGAACCAATGCTGTAAGAAACATCCGCCCTCCCAAAGTTTGGTTTACACTGTCGTTGCCCTTTGTTTGTCTGTCCAATAAGAGTGATGCCAGTATTTTTGTCAGTGAGTACGTCAGTGCAAAGGCTTATCTCAGCATTTTCCTGGAAGCTATTTTGTTGAACGGGACATTTTTCCATGTGGTCTCTGGAGATGTTTGAGGACCGCTGCTGCACAACCATGTTGTTGAAGAGCCCAAAGGTCTGATTAGACTGGTCAGATGAATGCCACTTTCCATATCTCTGCTTCTGTGGTGACATTTCAGCGCTTCCTGAGCTTACCTCATTCCACTGGATAGGCAAGCCTTCTTTATCAGATCCATGGTCAGGGCTGTGGTATTGCTGGTTTACTGGTGGTCCATGCAAGAAGTCATACTCCTCAGAATTCCCTGCCTGAATATCTTGAGGTTTATCGATTTGTGAAGTGCCATTTAGATTGCTGAATAGACATTGGTTCTGGGAGTTGAGATACTGCACCACATCGTCGGGCAGAATGTCTTCATCATTAAGCAGACCCTCTTCCATCGCCATGGCCTCCATAGCAATATTCTCACTGATGCTCGGAGGACATGGAGAGTACATGGGGTGTCGCAGGTTTCCATCAGAGCGTGTATAGTTCTGGAGACTAAGGTTTCTCCTGTCAGTTATACGAGGCAGAGGGAGAGGGTTCACATTGTTGAGACTATTAAACCGCTGGACCTTGGGCAGGTTAAAGGGATCTGATACTGTTCTAATGGGGTCACTGGCTCTTCGCTCGGTGTTGCCTGGTGCTTCATGAGGGAATAAACCTCTCCGGCTGAACCCACTATTCCCTCCATCGCTGCATCTCCGGGGCACGGTCACTGGAGGAAATGGTGAGAGCCCAGCTTCCCTGCCGTCGCCCATCATTGCCATCCTGGTCTTCAGACTCATCCTCTCCATGTTGGGCAGGGGCGTGGGAGGTGGTCCACCAGTGGCCGCCGCGTATTTGGCCTTGAGCCGGTAATGTTGGGCAGGGGTGAGACTGAGCAAGCCCCCACCGTTGCCTCCACCACACTGGCTTGCTTCACTTGAGCGCCTGGAGGCATCAGTAGAGATAGGGTCATAGGAGTCGGTGACACTAAGGTTGTGGTGACGCCCCTCGGTCTGCGATGCCTGGCTGGACCTGCGGCTTGAGAAGCAGGGAGAGATTCCCGATGAGCGCCGGCTGCTCAGGTACGCTGAGCTGATGGTGCTGGTGGTGCTGTCTCGCCGGTCGTTCAGTAGGTTCAGCACTGTGATGTCTGTGCTAGACAGCTCATTCCTACGGGGCAGGATTGTCATGGGCCCACCTCCAGAGCTACTTTTGCCTTGCTGTGAGCCTGCAATCAAACACATTGAAAAAATGTACATATGAAATAATAGGGCGAAACAATTTTGTTATATGTTTTGCAGGGTTAAAGTGGAACTGCAGACCCAATTTCTCAGACCGGTTATTAGATATCGGTAACAAAATAAATTGACAGTGTCATAAATTTTACAAATTCCAAATTAAACACAAAATCGTGTACTTTGCCATGTTGTTGAAAACCCCTGGTCTTGCCACAAGCGAGAGTGAAAGTTTGCAAGAATTGTGACCTAAACTGCTCACTAGTCACTGTAATGTCTAATGTAATGCGATGTTTCAGTGAATAAGTACAGGTTGTGCACCTGACATTTCACCCCAGAAATATTTCAACATGATGTGCATGTAAAGTTAACAAGTAGTATAAGTTGTATTTGCCGGCAAAACTGTCTTGAAGGCGAGAGCGATATTTCTGTTGGATTAAAGGAGATGTAACAAGGCCACATCCTGTCACCAGAACTTTTGGTGCCTCGTAGTGAATCTGGCTCTGAACCTGGAGATTTGTTCTTTTTACACATTACTGTGTACATTTTACTATCATCACAGTCTGAAATGCACACATTAATGCCAATTCTATCTAACCCCCAAATTTAAATATAGTGTTCGGGATCCCCTTTAAAGTAAGTATTTATCAGGCTCAACCAAACTGTGAGTTAGGTAAAATAAAATTAAATATTTGTTTGCTTCAGAACATCCAATCGCATCCAGAAAACTAAAACTTTAAGTGTTTAAAATCATTATTCAGCAACAGAAACCTACCATTTCCTATAATTGGAGGCAAAGTTGGCCCTTTTGGAGGTGGAGTGGGGTTTAGTCTTGGTAGGAATCCATTGACTTGTTTCAACCTTTCCATTTTCACATGCTCCATCCATCTCATCCCTGCCACATTCCTGCGAGCCTGCAGGCCGAGCGCGGTGGTTGCTGTGGACACGGTTGAGTCCATGATGGGGGCCTCCTCAATGGTGCTGAGGTCTCCCATGCTGCCTCCACTGTTCAGAGCAAGCTCGATTCCACTGCTGGAATTGGTGCTGAGGGGGGACTGTTCACTGCTGCATGAAGACTGACCGCCAGGGCTTGGCTGAGACGCCTGAAAATCAGAGGGTACATGTAAATCCACAGGGACATGGTAAAAGACACTAAACGGATTTTTAAAGCATTCTATTTCACATTGCATTATGTTGCATAATGTTACTATGAAACGTACCACCATATTATTAAAATAAATCCTTGAAATGTTTTTTGAATCTGGAATAAAATTTTAAACCACAGCTTTATATGATCCGTTTAAATCAGGGATGTCCCACTGGGGTCCTGGAAGACCAACTCTGGGTTGCTGGCTAAGCAGGACCACTTTCACATTTTCTCCCAGAATTCTAAATATTCTAGAAAAGCTGTAGACACCCAAGCTCTCCTGGACCAAGACTGGAGACTCCTGGTGTGAATTACTGAAAACTAAATTTACCACAGAGCTAAAGAGACTTACACCTGTAAAAGAATCTCAAAACATTACAAAACAGCTGGAAGACTACAGAATTGTCAAAGCCCCAAATTTGCTAGCATTCAGACCATTTGCCATTTTTTTAAGTATGTTGAACATTACTGTATTCTCAATTTTAATGTTCTTCTCTATTCAAAATATGTTAAGAACACGTTATTATTACTACTGTAAGTAGAACATAAGCTGCTAAGAATTTGCTCCAGGAGAAAATGCTCTGATTTAGTGGTCTAAATCTAGTTTGAATATACAGATTCTTCGTTCATTCAGCAGACTGTATATTGATTTAAATACTTTCGGGGAAAACGGATCATTGAAAAGTGTTTAGAACATGTCATAGTACTTGGTTCTACCCATGTCATAAAAGCCATACAGATGCTACAAATCTCATGTATGAGTTTAAAGCTGAGATTAAAGCAATTAAAGCTCTTGCGTATGTCTATATATGGGAGTGGTGGTATAGTAAAAGGACAAGAACACCATGAGGAACAAGTAATACAGCTAAACATGTGGGCTGCCAGTATGTAAGAGTGGCAAAATATATTTGATAAAATGAAACTGGCCTTTGTGAGAAAATGTCTATTTAGAATAAAAGATGAAATATAAGAAATCATCTAACTTTGATACATGAAATGATCAAGTCCAAATACATACCCCCCCCAAAAAAATAAATAAATAAATGTGGTCTACAAAGTATATGTGAGTTAAAACAGTTTTTTTTTTGTACAAAAAACAAAATAAATTGGAGCAGAGCTGATGATTAAGGAATCTGACAAGGTCATCCTGGGTGGTGACAAACATTTCAATTATGTAGCAATGACCCAGCTAGTGAGGAAAAACTCATGCGAGGCTGTTTATGCCCTTCCCAAACAAAGAAGAAAGAACAATGATTTCATTTTAGACCAACAATCACTTAATTAGCGTGTTAAATCTAGTGTAAAATTAAAATCAGCATCAAACAACAGATGAACTTGTCTTCTGCATGTGAGCAAGCCTTCTTTTACACTGCACAGAAAAACAAAATTCTGATTCCATTTCCACGTAGTACATTGTCTGTTTTGGAGAAATTTGGTTTTCAATTGTGACACAGGACACATTCCGTATAATTTTCATTTTTAGGCGGGACAAAAAATTGCATCCCAAGATGAAATACAACACTCCCACAGTTCAGTACTGTGAAATCCATGAATGATCAATGCAGCAATGGCATGGATAAATGATTGGAAACACGCATGGAATTAAACAAAAAACCTTCTCACCTTATTACCCACTGTCCTTAGGAAGTTAGAGCAAGATATGCAATAGCATTGGGCAGAAAAAACATTCAGTTATTACAGGGTGAAGTCATACAAAAAAAGAACCAGCACATTTAAGGCAGTTCGTTATTATTGTGAACAGGATTTCTCAAACACACAATTACAAAGAAGATGAAAGACACAATAATGATCGCTTTTACCTACAGGTGTACCTACAGTACTTTAACCTCAAATGCCAAGGCCTGCTTAAACGTCATTGCTAGTTCCTTTTTGAATAGAAACTGATAATATTGTATGACTTATTCATTTAACCTTATGTGCTTTTAAAAATACAATTTCAATATATCCATTAATCTAGTGTAAGACATTCCAGGTACAGATCACAGCATCCCAGAGCCTATCCCAGAAATATAGGGTACAAGGTAGGCCACATTCTGGAAACCCAGCCAACAGGTAATCCTACAGTATGTGAACAGAACACAGCTTGCAGACTCCTGGTGACCATGGATTTAGCATATTAATTCCTTTAAAAAATCATGTAAATAGCTACCGAATACTTAAAATAAGAATACAATAGAAATAATAATTAACTTCTTATACTGTATGCTTACAGCAGATAACTGCTTTTTGGTATGAACCCTCTTAAGTAAAATAAAAAAGTTAACAACACACAATACTTGTACAGTAGCTACAAATGCAACACACCTTACCTGTCTGTGCCTTTTTAAACAGTTTTAACCATTTTAATGTGTCTTACTTTAGTGGTTTAAAGTAACATTATCTGAACTATGCTGAAAACCTGGTATCTGGTTGAGTTACTATCAGCTATCAGCATCTCTCAAGAAAGTTTTTATCATAACATCTGAATTTTCTACATACTTTAACAGCAATGCATATATCTGTCACAAGCTCACAAGCAATTGACTTCTGAAAGTTCAGGAAATTTCCCACTAGGAATAGTTTTCCCACTTTTAGTCAGAGTCTGACACTTTTACAGAGTGGCCTTCTGGGATAAAGCTCAGCAACAGATCAGGATAAAAATTTGCCTCCAATATTAAAACACCTTTACTGAAAATATCTATTTCAGTAGTACGGTCAAAATCTAATAATAATTAAACGAGCCAATGAGTATTAAGGTGTTGGAGTACATAACAGTTTGGCATTAAGTCGCCTGGCTGAGAAAATGACAGTGTTGGTCACAGATCCATTCCTCTCACTTACGAGGGATGAACCAGGGAGAAAATGCTGCATCAGTCCTCCAGCTGTGGAGGAGGAAGGGAGGGGAGCACACAGAGGGAAAGATGAACATAGAGCTGTGTGTGGCTAGGCAGCATTTACTGTATACAGTACGTTGGAGGGTGGAAGTGCAAGATTTAGAATTTGACCTCCTCTTGGACGTCTGTTTAAATAAACACCATTAGCATAGAGACTAAATACCTTTAAGTAATGGAGAACTGCTTTAAGGGTTAATAAAATAAAATAAGATTGTTCTCAGCATCATATGAACTAATTAAAAGCACTTTCAAGACTATAAACCTGTAAATCAGTAATGATCTTACAAAATAGCATAATAATGCAAAACACTGGTCTATCACTTTAAAAATAAGACAGAAATGAGTTTGGCAAAATGCAGCCTTCTCATGAGCTGAAAGGGGTTTACATACCATAGGTTTCTCTGTCTTGATAACTTTGACCTGCAGACATTCTTCCTGCTTTGAGGTAGTGTGGTTGTAGTCCCTTTGGTCAGTGAATCCCCCTGGAGGGTGCTGTCCAGGGGACCTAGACTGGGTGTTACTGCCGGGGTCTCTGGGAGGAGGGGGTCTGGGGTGGGTGTCACCCCGCTGCTTCTTGGTAACGTGGGCCTCAGGGCCGTGCACTGTCTTGACGTGCTTGCGCAAAGAGCTGGGGTCGGTGTAGCGTTTTGTGCAGCCAGGGATTTTACAGATGTAAGGTTTCTGTCAAGGTAAATCAGAGACAGATGATTAAAGGTGCCAAACACTGGCTCACCCTTCGGGCACGGCTGACACACAAAGAAAGTGCTGGAAATCATTTACAGTCTGTAAGGAGGCAGTGAAACGAGAGAGAGAAAAAAAACAGAGCACTGAGACAGACTATATTTATGTTTATAGTTTATACGTTCTGATTTCTCCCTAGTTTGAAATGTCACAGTGAGATGCCCCTCAACGCCTGTGAATCACATGAGTAAATGAACGAATGACGATACAGCAGTGTCCTTCTGTCTGTACAAGAACTGTCCTCTTCACTGTGTAACTGCTTTCAGACAAGAGAAACAGGCTCAGTTTGGGCTCCCCTGGGAAGATACTATAGGAGCGCGTACCTCGTTGGAGTGCGTCCTGTTCTGGTGTTTGGCACGGTCTGAAGCATTGGAGAAGGCCTTGTTGCAACCCTCATGCTCACAGACGTATGGTTTCTCTCCCGTATGAGATCGCAGATGAGTCTTCAAGTTTTCCAGCCTGGAATAGGCCTTCGCACAGCCTTCGAACTTCAAAGAAAACAAATGCTTCTTTACTCTTGTCTCAGGTGAGTAAATGAATCGTGTCTTCATGACTGCAGAGCTAAGCTGTACAGTTTGAAACAAAATCTGTTGCATAAAGCAAATCAAATGGGAAAATAAGATTTTGTAGACCCCTGTGAAAGAAAATGTCTACGATAAAATGGAGATTAGTAATTTTTTTAATGCTTTTTCAGTATTTAGGACACTTTCTAAACATTTTTATTATTTTTTTTAATGCACAGCTTCACTAAAATATGCACACTAACACTTTCACAAGTCTTGAGGTTAGGGAAAAAGAACTAAATCAACTGATTAAATCTCCATGCTTCTCAAAAATAAATGAATACAATGTACTGTAATACAATACATTGAATGTAGAATGATGTAAATCTGCCTTATTCCCCTGGATTGTCTTTATATTGTTTTTGTAGTGTTACCAAAGTTCCAATAAAAATAAAAAAGGAAACAAGTAAAAAAATGAAAACGGCTATAAAAAATGTGGCTTTGTTGCAGGCAGCAGAAACAGAACAAAAGAAAACTTAAAATCAATATTTCAGATGATGGACTTTCATCAACAACGTCCTGTGAAGGTAGATTTTTTTTTTGCTGTCTCCACAGGTATCTTTTGAAGACCTATCAGTTTTAAAAATTGATCCCCCTCCACCTTTGCTGCTGTGTTTTGTAATTTCTGTGCTCCCTTCAATCTCTGTGCAGCTATGGTTTTGTGGAATGATACATAGCCACTTCAGTGGATATTTCATGTAGCCACCCTAAATGGAACCAAGCTGGTTTTATTTAATTCAACCAGAAAATCGTTCAATTTTATAGTCATCTTTACTTTTGTGTTATTGTTAACAAAAAAAAAGCCTGCAAAAACATCACTCTAGGAGTTTCACACAAGAAAAGCTTAGCAAAGGTAGCGTTTTAAACTTTGGTCGATTTTGTATTGTACAAAACAAGGTAGCACTTCAAACAGATATTTTCAATGTTTTAATAAAATAATATCTGAGATTTTACATAATGCAATTAAAGTTACAAAATTCTATATGCAGTAAATGAGAAATGTGTCCACCTAGTGTTCAGGCTGGTATATCGGTTCTGCATTTCTAATATATTTTTGTATTCAGGAAAAATATATTCAGTTATTCCTTAATAATTTACTCAATGTTACAGGTTAAACAATGTGCCACACTTGGTGAGCACCAGGTAATATACAGTACAGTCTGATGTACTGTATTAGAGTACTTCACCTCCCATATTCAGTACATGTTCAGTGAAACAGACTAATACTTATGGTGAAGTCTGAATATGGAGGCAGGCTTTGTAATTGCCATTCAAATTTCTCCTGAAGGCTGGGGCTGCTCTCTCCCTCAGGTACTTCTGACCTTCACTAGGATTTAGAACTATCTTCCAGGGAATAACTTGGAAAAAGAGTTGACACTGAAGCAGCCATTTTTCTAAAGCCCTTGGAACTGCTAAATGAGAATTAGCCAGCAGCCATATCACCCAGCAACTCACAACTGGCAACCCACAAAACTAAGCAGGTGTGAGCCTGGTCAGTACCTGGATGGGAGACATCCTGGGAAAAACTATGGTTGCTGGTGGAAGAGATGTGAGTGGGGCCAGCAGGGGGTGTTCAACTTGCGGTCTATGTGGGTCCTAATTCAGTATAGCGATGGGGACACTATACTGTAAAAAGGTGCCGTCCTTCAGATGAGATGTAAAACCAAGGTCCTGACTCTCTATGGTCATTAAGAATCCCAGGGTGTTTCTCAAGTGTTGTGGCCAAATTTCCCCCTCGCCTTTTACTAGTTATGGCAATGGGGACACTATACTGAAAAAAAACACTTGTTCCTTCTTTGGTTATTGTCTGCCACAATTTTGTTTCTTGTTCTTTATTCCCACCCAAGAATAAAGAATGTTACTCTGCTCTCCTCCCCACTGATAGCTGGTGTGTGGTGAAAGTACTGGCGAACTATGGCTGCCGTCATATCATCCAGGTGGGGCGACACATAGGTGGTGGTGGAGGGGAGTCCCCATTACCTGTAAAGTGCTCTGAGTGGAGTTTCCAGAAAAGTGCTATATAAGCATTATTATTATTAATTTGATTTTGACATACTGTAAAAGTGAATATTCAATTCAAAGTTTAATATTTCAACACTTGCACTACATTGGGGCCACTTTTACTTTTACCTTTGCAAAGTTATACCTACCGTGCATTTGTGTGGCTTTTCGCCTGTGTGTCTCCTCATATGAACCACCAGCATATACTGAGCTTTAAAGGGTTTCTGCTCCCGAGAGCAGTCCAGCCAACGGCACACAAACTCCTTCTTCTCCCCATGGATGTGGTCGTTGTTAATATGCTGGAACGCACAAAGGAGCCTGTTAAAGCCACATCAACGTTTCTCTTAAAAGAAAAATGGTCTGATTTTCAAAATGAAATGACACTTTAAAGCATCTGCACTTGAACTCCACTCCACTACATCCTGAAAAAATCACTTGTTCCTTCTTTGGTTATTGTCTGCCACAATTTTGTTTCTTGTTCTTTATTCCCACCCAGGGTAAAATCATTAAATTTGATATCTAGGAAGTTCTCAAGATGAGGATGAACCAGATGGTTTTGTGAGGCTTTTTATTTCACACTTACAGTAAATTAATGGCTTTTAACTACTTGCAAAATATGAAAACAGTTTGAAAGTGCACACAATGTAACAGTTTCATTACCTGCATCCACAAATGTTAACATTTTATATGTACTGTAAGTTTATATCAAAATCTTACTTTGTAACAAAATATGATCTTTAGTTAACATTTGTGGCCTTGTCTGGTGAAAATAAGCCCTTTGTAGTCATATTTTTGTAGTCTTGTAGTCGTATGTTGCATTTAATCTAAATGGAGGTTATAGAGAACCACAGTGAGCATTTTTTTCCGTTTATAGGTTTTTTATAAGTATGCTCTTATGAAATGAGGGCACTTAAAATGGTGAAAATAAGCTAGAATTAAAAATGTACAACAGTCTAAAAGAGCTTAGTTGTGAGATGGCAAGACTCAAATATTCAAGGTAATGAAATACGGTGTCATTTTTTATTTATTGTAAGTTTCTTCTGCATGTACATGTCTGCTTTTTATATGCAAATATTGTTTGTACTACAATAGTTTATCCTGTGCTATTTACACAAAACTTTCAACTATATTACTACAACTATATTCTCATGAGATGATCACAAACCCCTATGTCTTTGCTTGGCGACTATTAATCAAATTTGTACATTTCCTTTAATGGTAAACTTTCTTTGCTGTATCCATGTTTAGAGATTTTTTTTTTTTACCATTTTCCATTTTTTTCACCACTCACACTCAAATGCCTTCACCTCCTCTGCCCCTCTCATGCTGTCAGCTCACACCTATGCCTGCTTCACTTGGACAGACAACAAACATCTAATTCATTTTATATGTCCTGTTTACACTGGGCTAATAGCCAAGCGGTGCATGTTATCCACTTAGTGTGCAATGTATGATGTCATTCTCACTGCCCCATAGAGAGAAATATTTTCCCTCCTCCAAGGACAGCCATTGAATATCATAACCAGGACATGTTCACAAATTCCTCATTTGCAACCAAAAGCCCATCAAATTAATCATAATAATTGAATTAGCTTTGCTTGAAACGGTGGCACACATGGTTCTGAATACATTAAAAAATCCACAATCATCAAACAAATATACCTGTGCATTTTATGATACTATTATAGTCACACAACACACCTGAATCTCTTAGATAAATGCATTTTCATTTCATGTAGACTTCTCTTTGTTAGGAAACCTCTTCACATCTCAAGAAAAATGTATTCTTGGTGTAAATTACTAAACAATTTTAAGACAACAGACACAGAATCCTCCAGGTTAAATTTCTTTAAAAAATATTGGAATAAACTTTACTCACTAAAAGTGATGTCTGTTCTAAATTTTGATCAGTTCAAATCAACAAGTGTATATTTGACCATTTTTATATTTTGGTTCCTTCAACTAAAATCCTTTCCATCCCCCACCAGAGGTACATCCCTCCAAGATGTATACTCTCTTTCTTATGACAGAATATTATAGACCAGCTCCGAATTGGCTTGCAGTGTCTAGACTACCCTAAGCCTGCAAGGAGACATTCTAAAAAGGAGCAGCATAAACAGGCAATCTGAATCCCTGATCAGACAAGTTGTTGCTCATTTGCCCCTTCAGTATACTGTATAATGCAGTGTTTCCACACTTTTCTACAGTTCTAAAAAAGGGATTAATGTAAATAAGATGCATATACTCTTGTAATCAGGCTGTAATTTGAAAATGTTGTTTTTGCCTTGCCTAATATTCTAACAGACAAAAATGCTCACTGTGGCTCCTTCTAACTTCCTTTTAGATAAAATGCAACATCATGATGTAACTACAATGGCAACTGAGACCGGCATTTCAAAGTAGGAAAAAAAAATCCGTAGTAAATTTCTTTTTTCATTTTAGGTGTTTCCTTTAATCTTTTTTTTCTCTTTTTTTAGAAGCCAAACAATTTCAGCTAAACTCCTTCAACCCACATACAGTACCATAAACTTAATTACCTTTAATTACCTGTATTTTCCAACAGGGAATTCACAAGAATTTCACATATCGACAGTTGCTATGATTTGAAAAACAACCTTTCCTTTCCTCTCAGTCATAATGCTAGGGATTGTGGTGTTAAATATTTTAAATTCTTATTTTTTTCAGTTTTAAGAAACTTTAAAAAAATGGATCTAGTTTATTCATTAGTCTTCCACTAACCAAAGTATTATAACCTATTGTATTCAAATATTGATCGCTTTAAATGTTAAGAAGCAAAAGCCTGGGAATGCACACAATACTGAAGATTTTTTTTTCACAGTAGACATGTGTCTCTGTCCCTTCTGAATAGATTTAAAAGTAGACTCTTGTGTTCTGTCTGATTTTCCCACAATTCAGTATGCCTCTATTCTCCATGGGTCCAATGGTTGTTTGTACATGGACATTTTCCCATGTTACAAAAGATAAACATCTGTATCAGTTTATTGTTGTCTTCTCGCTCTTCTTCTTAGATTAAATATTATTTATTCAGATGGATAAGCAAATGCATTGAAATTAAACCTCATCTTTCTAGAACTGCAGACACTCTGTTTCACCATGTAATGCCAAAGATCTGCCACATGAGGGCCTGTGACCACAGATAACTGCTAGGAAAATAATCGGTAAATAATAGAGAATATTGTAAAACTGACATAGCATTTTTGGTCTGAAAGAAAATCATAAATTTAATTCTTTGATGCACTGAATGCTAGTGGATAACATTCTTAAAACCACAATGTGTTTATACTAAATAATGAAATTGACATTTAAACAAACAATTATAGGTTAAACAATTACACAGTATATAAACAATTTAATTATTTCACCAACTGTCAGGTGAATCATTCGTTCCCTTTATTTAAGCTTTATTTATTACAATTTTAATTAATGTTGTCCCTTGTTTCAGAAAACATAACAAAGAAGAAATTTTGCTCATTGCAAAAGGCAAAATAGTACAAATCATGATTTTTTAAATTCTACAGTATTAATAAAAGCTAAAGTGTATACCTGGAAGTAAAACCAAATGAAATGCCCAAACTAGTCTAAAAACTATGATTTCTTTCTTTTTTTTAAAGATTTCAACAACTCAATGTTTCTGGACCATGAAACAATACCAATATTAAATTCAGTACACAAGGTGGAGCTCCACATTGAGGAATAGAACCGAGAGTTGTATGTTGCACCATGGTCTCTGTGTCCAAATTTAACGGGATTTCAAATAACACCTTGTCACTTCCCATCATATTTTGCTTTTGCCCCTATGTGAGGACTGGTGACAGATATGCAACTGCAGCAATTTCCCAACAGGAGATTTACGGAGAGAAAGGGAGAAAGAGGGGGGGGGGGGAGTTAAGTCAGAGCATTTCCAATGTCAGGGCTTTAAAGCTCTTCTAAAGCACTTTTGCTTGAGACTTTGTAAGGCTGTCTGGCCTCTATTTTGTTTTGCCTTACCAAGCTCAACTATTGACGGGCAACGGGTTAATGGCTTGCGCTGCTAAAAAAAAAAACAACCCAAAAAAAAACACAGACACAGAATCCTCTGGGGATAAGTCAACATCTGGCCCTTTTACAAAGAAAATACTGTACTTCTCTCAGAAGTGCTTTTCTGAGGCAATTTAAACACAGGGAGGCAGACATAATATCCTGAAGAAGGGGAACCTGCATTATTGCATTCCTGACCAGAGAGAGGGATCTGCCCCGAGGACACTGGGGAAAGAGTGAAAATCTCATCACGGATTCAACTTTATACCAAAGACTAACTCAGCCGGCATATCTGACGATTAGCATTCATATCACAGCACAGAAAGTTTTCATTCATAACTGAAGCAAAGCCGTCGCAAGCCCATGTATTGATTTGTATTTGAGGTGGTAACAGCAGACTTTTCAAGCCTCTCTGTACACACCACCAGCAATCGTGGGGCTGTTTTTGTCACCAGTTAGTTGATGTTAGCTGTCACCAGTGGGGCCAGCAGAGGGTCACTGTCATGTCCTGTATAGCTATTTGTAATACTAAAATTAATGTCTTACAACCTACCAACGATACACTGGTATGTGTCTGGCTGTCTTTGCCACTGTTGTGCTATTGTTTTTAGGTCCTTTCTATGGTCTCATTGCAAAATGTTATATTAAGAGTAGCTTGGTATAACAGAACTTTTGTTCCATATAGACATTTTATTGTGCAAGTATCAATACTTTTTTTTATGTTTAAGCTTACAAAAAAGCTTACAAAAAGGTATTACAATTTTTGTATATCTCTGTGTATAACATATTGACTATATTGTGCAATTTTTATAAATCGTCAAGCTATTATTATTTAAAAGTGACACATACTAATCCTGTCATATCGGGTCAGGTCTGCAGCCTTTACTTAATGATCAAAGTGTATCTGCAACACAAGGTACAGTAGCAGTGATTTAGGACTGCAGTTGTGGTAAGAGATTTACACCTTTTCTTGATCAATGAAATGTTGCCATTTAAACTTGGGATAAAATGATGGTCAAATCAGACATGTACTGTATATGTAATAAATAAAAAATGTCACAATTTAATTCACATCTCCAAAGAAAATACAATTGGACAAAACTTACTCCCTACTCTAGTAGGTTTAGTATATTGAGCCTACTGTTTCAACCTAGTAATGCTTCCTTTTACTTCATAACATTTAAATATGACACATTTTGAACTAAAAAATAAAGAAGCTCCCTAAAATTCTATAATTGAAACATTTTACGTTCACAAAAAGCAAAGTTAACAGTTTTAAGTAACTAAAATGTCAGTAAGTATATGTAAGATATAGTACAGTACGTATAATAAGAACTATATCACGAAACATCCATAAAATACAGTAGCTGTGTGAAGTCAGAAAGTGCAAGGCTCTATATATCTTATAAGATGTCCAGATTCCAATCTGCTAGATGTTTTTTTTCTTGGAAAACTAAATCAGTTTAAGCCATATTTTATTTTACCAGAGATATGTCTCCCTCAATGCCACAGCAGGGCTTTGTCTTTGTGGCAAAACTAAATACGTAAGAGCATTGTTGTCAATAGCTTATGCTGTGGGCACTCCTCAAGAAGAACTGAAAAATAAACATCTTGAAAATGCAAACGAATCACTGAGAATAACTGAGGACCATCTCAATCGTTCTGCACCAAAGCCACTCACTATACTTCCTATTTTCATTTTCTTAAACACAGGGAGTTTCTTATGTCTGCTCAGACATTGCTTTTAGACGGGAAAAAAAAGTTATTTGTTTTCTATTTTTTCGGGAATTCCTCAACATCCCATCAGTCTCTCGCAAGGAGTTCAATTTCCTTAGTGTGGATAGAAGGGATCTGCCTAATGTCAGCTAGTACAAATTACCGTGGAAGTGGGTGTGATACATGGCTCAGGACTCTGACGGGGAATGTCCACTATTGTTTGCCATTATGAATGGTGGTGTGATCTAATGGCAATTTTTATTTAATCAATAATTTCCATGCTGAGCAGACAGGCCCTTTCCCTAAGAATCGACAAACATGTACTGATAGCACCGGGCATGGTTATTAATCTTCACCTTGCCAGTTTATCTGCCAGCAACTGTACAAATGTCACCAAGATGGATTTAGCAGTTTCATTCTCACATTACATGATGGCTGAAGAAGCCTTATTTTCACATACTGTACAGTCCCAAACTCACACAAATATGCCCCCACAAACCTATTTGTGTATTCCACTATTATCTTACCTCACCCCAACCCCATTTAACTAAAGTTTACTTGAAAGTGTTCTGTATTTTAAATCCTCCTTAAAAAGGCACTTGTTACAAAGCCATTCTTCAAATGTGTGAGACCTGGACTACCATTTAGTTTTATCAATTACAGGCTAATAAATCATACGTTCTTTTGTGATGTCAATCGCTGCAATGCTTTGTACAGAAAAAAAGAGAAAAAAAGAAAGAGTAGAGGGGATGGAGAGGGGGGTGGTGAAATTGGCATGTGTAATTCAGCAAAGCCTTTTCATCTTGAAATAAGATACTCCAGACAGATAACAGGCATAATCCTTCTCCTGATCAAAAAAAATCTGCATTTTACCAATTAAAGCCCCCTGCCAGAAGCAAAAAATGGGGCAGCTCTCAGACTCCGCTGAAGTTTATCTCTACCAAACACAAGGGAGGAATACAGCAAGAGCTTTGTTTCATTTTCAGCTGACTACTTTATCTCCCTCCAAGAACTGGAGCATCACAGCAGCAGCAAGAGAAATGCACAGGAATGGCACAGAGACCTAATATACCTATGGCCACTGCAGTGCACTGTAGCCCCTGAATCAACGTAACCTCCTTTAGCTTTCTTTTAAAAAAACCCTCTTTAAGTGGTTTGCCATCTCCTTTAATGGGTAAATAAAAGGAAGAAAACAGATGAATTAAGTCAACACAGGAAAAAAAAACACACCCGACTTGCTTTTTTTACTGGAGACGAAAGATAAGCAAGTTAAATCAGGTTGATATGATTTTTATCTTATCGCCTGAATGAAAACCACTTATGTGCATGCTGTAAAATTATATCACGGTGGGGGAAAAAAAGCTGCCTGTGTAACAAAAACATATAACAAGATTTGGATGAAGGGGTCAGTATTTTAAAATTAAGGTGCAATTAAACACTCCCTCCAAATATTATTTATAAAACATCTTTATTCCTATGGAAAGAAACAGAAAACAACAACAAAGCATCTCTTATAAAATTTCATAACTCGTGTTTTACGGTGCAGTTCTGGTGCGGAACCTTTATTTTTAATGCAGTTAAACATAAAAGTCCATTAATATAATTAATGGAGAGCTTAAAAATGATGACTTCATTTTAAAAAAGTCATTGAAATTAAATGCCTCACTCTGAATCACATGAAATAAATAAAATGTCTGTCATTTGTTTTTTGAAACTCAGGCTTTAATATAAGAGATGCTGTTGTTTAAACTTTTAATATATGGACATTTTCAACATCTCCTCTTTGTTCAGAACCTCCACAGTCCCAATATAGTATTTATGCCATTTCTGGGGACCATAAAGATAAGGATAGCTTCAAATCAGCTGTGTCAAATTAAAAGAAAAGTACTCTTGAGGCAAAAATTTTATTAGCATGAAAACGAAATCAGTGTAAGCATAAAAAAGAAGTTTGATATTTCAGAGCATAAATTGAGGAACTTTTGAATTTTATTTTTTAAATTCTTTATTTTTTCTGTTTAGAGGAAGAAATAAACCTGATTGTTACTACTATAATTTGTCTCTCAATGTTTAAGTCTTTGCTAACCTAAAACACATGCCGACTCTTTGCTCTGAAGTTCAAACTAACTACAATGAAAATTCCAACTGTGGTGAGGCTCACTGAGTGAACCAGAACAAGGGCAAAACTTGTCAAGATTTTAAACCTTTCAGCAAAACCCTTCAAATGCAGTCAGCAACCTATTCCATGGCATGGATATCAATTATAGATAGGGGTTACTTTAGCTAGCAGCTGGTACTGTCAGACACTAGATAGACAACCATGAAGAACAGTGAATCTTTCTATTAAATATATGGGATTGAAGGGGGGGAGGATATGCAGCATTAAAAGTGTGGACTGGATGAAAGCATATATTACTACCTGATCTGGCTCTCACATTATCTGGGCCAAAAGAACTTAATATGTTGGTGTAAAAGAAAAAAATAGCACCAATTAAACTTTGTGTACCTATACAGTATATGATCTAAATTACATCAAATAAAGCAAATATCTTTTACTGCATATGAAGATAGTATACAGAAAATATTTAAGGATTCATTAAAATATTTAAAATATTAATATTTACTTATGTATCCCTATATTACTTGTTGCCACATACATTTACATTTTTACATCAGCAAAATAACAAAATAACAATCACTTAAGTTGTTGCAGCAAAAAATCTATACACCTTTATGTAGATCTATATGTACTGTACATCGCCACACCACATAAAATAATCTGCTGCTCTGGAATCAGTCCAGAGAGGTGCAATGAGATCCATTCCTGGATGTAAAGGAATGTCCTGCACTAACAGGCTAAAAAAAACTCAGCTTTTTAGTCTTGAACTGAAAAGGCAGAGGACCTGATTCAAAGTCATGAGGGCATTCACAAAATCAACACAGCGGACTTCTTCAGAATCAACAATGAAACATGAAGCAGGGGACACAGTGGAAATTACATTTAAGTGCATTTAAAACCGAGAACAGACGGCCCTTATTTACACTAAGGGTTGCGGGAGTGTAGAACAAGGTATACCATGTTATTGAAGAAGATACTTCTTTCAAGAAATGTCTGGATGAGATCCTCAGATCAGTTAGCTAAGGGGCTAGATGGGGCCAAAATTGGTCCACTCCTTTGTAACTTTTCTTTAGTTTTTTTTTTCAAAATGCCAAATGTTGTGTGTTCTAATAAGACATTTATTTAGGTGGAACAAAATGTTACAAATATAACCTATACACATTTTTTTCCATTTATTAGGCCTGCAAATAATTACCATCATGGATGGGTAACCAATGAGGCAAACCACTAATTATTCAGTTAACTGCAACACGCATAATCTGAGGGATTGCTTCCTCACATCAGCAGCCGCAGCTGTTAATACATCTGGGAGCCAACAGAAGACCCACAAACCTCAAAAATCCACGTCAGTCTAAAATTATTTCTCCAGAAAGATAAGAAAAAAAAAGCTCAAAAAGCAATCACAAGAAGAATTTTAACACACTTTGTGCTAACAAAAAACACGCAGTAACTTGTTAACAGTATGGAACTGAAGTCCCATAACCCCCTTGGCAGCTGTAGTAAGACTTGGATTTACCACTACAGGTCAAACAGTCCAAGTAATGTACCCTTAGCTTTTGGTTTTAGCTTTTTTATTCCCATGAAACCATTAAGCTCCTCTAACACAGGGGAAGAAACTGAACTATCCAGGTGTCAGAGTGCAGGCCTCCTCATGAAAGAAGGGTCACATAGCTTTCTGAAAGTCTCAATTACTCACGTGGACTAACTGCTCCTGTGTGTCAAACTCTCGTGAGCAACCTTCCCAGTGGCAGTTGGTCTCATACACAACCTCTGGCTCCTGCTTGCTTTCATCTTTGTCCCCTTCTTCCTTCACGAGGGTCATTCCTTCAGGCTGCTCCTACCACAGCACATAAGGCAGAACCCAGAAAACGAAGAAAAAGAGTTATTCGAAAGCAGGAGCAGCATTAAAATAAAGGTTACAGAGATGGAGAAGTGAAGAGGTTAATGTCCTGTTTTCCTGTTGTGGTGGAAAACAGGAAATGTCAAGTCTTGTTTCCTTTTAGTCACACTACTAAATGCCAGCTATATTTTGTATAAAGTAAATTGCGTAACACACATTTGTTACATTTTACTTTCTCATATATGGAAGCACCCAATTAAGGATCCTTAACTTTTTAACATCTTGTCTTGCTTCTAACACTCTCATATTAGCAAATATAGGAAATAGGGATATGGAATACATGGAATAGGGATTATGCATACTTTACACTGGAATGTGCACTGTGACAACCATGACATTTTTTTAATTCACTGAACAAGTCCTGCAGTGAGTCATCGTCAATTGGAAGAATGATGCAGTTCTCAGTGAAAACACTGCAGGTTGCAGGCACCCACTTAGTCACTGCACGCTTCCTCATTGTGGAATACCAATCACAAGTCACAAGCAACTGGGCTACAGGGCTCACCCGGGCCTCAGAAATGTTTGTTACTAGCTGAACCACTCAGGGGAACCCTGAAATATTTCACCTTCTATTTCTATTACTCAACATCAATTATGCCAGCAGCCATATCACCCTGCAACTTACAATTGGCAACCCACTGAAGCTAAGTAGGTGTCAGCCTGGTCAGTACCTGGATGGGAGACCTCCTGGGAAAAACTAAGGTTGCTGCTGGAAGAGGTGTTAGTGAGGCCAGCAGGGGGCGCTCACCCTGCAGTCCATGTGGGTCCTAATGCCCCAGTATAGTGATGGGAACACTATACTGTAAAAACGAGCGCGGTTTTTTGGATGAGACGTAAAACCGAGTTCCTGACTCTCTGTGGTCATTAAAAATCCCAGGGTGTTTCTCGAAAAGAGTAGGGGTGTAACCCCAAACTTCCCATGCCTCCTAATAATCCCCCTCTTTGAATTGGCTACATTACTTTGTTCTCCTCCCCACCCCCTCCGACAGCAGGTGGAACGATGCAGTATTGGAGTATTGGAGTATTCTCAGTCGCATTTAATGGCAACATCAGCTCAAAGATTTGGTTCAAACCACCAAATGGAGACGGGCGTGCCAACAAGCTGACCCTGCTGATGCGGGATTAGCACTAGGATGAGAGACTCATCACCAATTATAATACAAATTACAGCAAAAATAATATTATACTTTTGAGTAAAGTTAATAAAGGTTACCAAATTACACAACTGCTAGATGAAAACAATTGTATAAATAATTGTATGGTCTTATTGGAAATCCCATCATAATATTTCCAATTTAATCCTTTCTTTTTTATATTATTAGCTATTTAATCATTTTTAAAACCTCCAGTATTTACTGAAATCAGAACCACTGTATTGTTAAATCTAATAAGAAGTGCTTGTTCAATTTAACTTTAATTTCACAACACACTGTATGATGAAAGTTGATGCAGTGTATTTATACAATAAACATAAGTTGAATACAGCAATAACAATAAAATAATGTAATTATGGGATATGATATTTAAGAACATTCTTCATAAATCTCTACATACATCAGTGTGGAAGAGGAAACGTACAGTACAGCACATTTTTATTAAATGTGATCTGTGATCTTTTGTGTCCTAAATATTAAGAATCCCCATCTGTACTTTGTTTCATTGCTGAAAGTGTATTTCACTGTCAACTTCAATGTTTAAGCAGCCAAAAAGGTCTGATATTTGTGGAGGAAATGTGAACTCTTCACAGCTGTACGCAATAACAAGTTTTCACATTTATGTAACACAGCGTGGCGATTGGTTTCTTAAGTATCCATTCCTCCCTTCCTCAATGAAATAAGAGCAAGTCTGGCACAAGGCAGACCTCCTATCATAAACATTTCCCCTGGTACCAAGGCACAGTGTGCGTGAGGACTAAGACTGCTAAATCAAATCCCTCTGGCCTGTCCTTCTGAAAGTAAGATGTTCACAGCCTGTCCAAAACATTTGTTTCACATTAGGCTTGCATGCTTCTCTGCTTTAAAGGTCATGAAGAGTAACTTGAAGGTATTTTCTGAGGGGAAAGATTCATTCACAAGATTGTTCCTGTATATTTCGTCAATAATCTCCTATTGTACAAATCTAACAAAGATTCACAGGCTCATAGACCCAGTTATATAAGTTTTTTTGTAACATTTTCCTTACATTACTCCTAAAATCGATGTTTATCTTTCTCACTGGAAGTGAAAGCAGAACACAATAGAGGGCAAAATGGTTTACATTACAACCTGTAATTGGTCCCCCAGCTCTGTGCTGGATGCTGAGTGTGTACTTCCAATTGCCATGAGTACACTACCGGTAACTGAACTGCACAATGGACAGTACTCAACCTTTGCTGAAAGGGGAAGAAAGGAGCTGAGTAAATGAGCTCTGGCCTCCATACCTGCACACTTCCTGCACCTGGACTGGGCAGATCTTCATCTGGTTTAATCTTAGAGCGTTTGTTCTGCATGGGGTCCCCTGTGCTGCTCACCGCAGATTCACTGGTGGGCTTGCTCTGCTGATAGACAGATTTGGTCAAGAGATTTTGCAGGGGATAACATTTTGCCTGCAGGATGAACAAGACCGCTTCATGTTTAACCAAGAAGGACACAGCAGTGAGGAAGCACAGCTCTGCCAATTGCAAAGGCAATGATAAAATAATCCTCCAGCTATAATTATTGAGGTCAACTATAAAGCGTGTGGAAACATTTTTTTTTAAATCTAATCATTTTTAACCAATATGCCACGGCTTTTACAATATGAAAGTACATCTGCACACATACAAAAACTGGAAAAGAAAAGTTAAATGGTAAGGTGAACTTATTTTTATATTATCAGACAGACTAAATAAGAAAGAAAGCAGGGTTTCTCTGCTCACAGTGTACAATGAATGAATCGCCCTGGAGATGTCAATAATAACCCAGGTTATGGGTGTTTACTGCTACAGGCTTCTAGGGGTGTCCCTATTCACTGTGGTTATCCTGTAGCAGGTGGAGGTGAAATTGGCTGGGAGCTCGTCGGCTCGTCATGCTGGCCAGGCAACTCCACTGTCAGTAGAACCAATATTTGTGTACACAGCTGCTACAGGTAGTAGTCAAAAACTGGAAACATTTCAAATGAGGGACACCCAGTACTTTCACACAGGTGATTATTGAGCGAATAACATCGCAGCATGCTTAGGGATGTGTATAAAATGCTGTACTGGCCTTAAGGACTATAATGCTTTGTTCCAACAGAAAAGAGACAGTGGTGTTCAATAATGTTGGTAGGGTGAATTTTCCTGCATGTCTTGGGAAGGCTCATTCCCTTAGAAGGCAAGGATGCCAATTGCTACTTAAGGGTAGTGATACTCTTCAACCCATGTTTCTTTTCTACCAAGATGGGTGTCTTCCAGGCTGACAATGGCCCCATCCACAGAGCACATGTGGTCTGGTAGACGCTATGCCACATTGCATACAAGCTGTACTGGCAGCATATGCTGGCCCAGCACCCTAATTGAGTGACTTTACACTGGTGTTTCCATTTTTTCTCCACTATCTCTGTTTCAGAGATTACTGTTCTCGTACGTGCATGTTGTGCTCATTTTTCTCTTGTGCTTGTGAAGCTTCAGTAGTTAGACCGGTTGAATATGAACTGATTTTACTAAACTGGGGGGGACGAGTACAATCCTCTTATTTGTAACTGATCTTATTTTGTAAATTCAAATGTCATTAAATAATTAAATCAACTAGCACAAAAATCAGGACTCTACTAGCTGCTCCTAGGGAAAACTGGTCAATTTAATGCTTTCCAATTTTTATTGCAGACAGGCAAAGACCAATACTGTATACTTTATATGACTTGCTAACATGGTTCACATTTACAACTTATTCTGAATACATTTTTTTCCGATTGTTCACAACCTTACATTCTGGAATTTTGGAATGAGTAAGTGTTTCCAAGTTTAAAGAGACAAGTCTGTATTTTAATAAAACAAAATGCAAGTACAGGGTCTATTTCTTATTATGAACTGGATGATTTTATCAGAACAGGGCACCAAATGTTTGCTAAATATTTGCAGATAAACCAATATACAACACCATGGCCAATATAGAATTCCCTGAATAGCCAAAAAATCTGTGAAGTATGAAAAGAACACATTAAAATAAAACTGTAGGAGAACCTGCCAGAACGAAACTTGGCATTTTCTAAGATCATTCATTTTCGTTAAGCCACATCTGAAAGAAACTGCCAACCAAACTCATAGGCAAAGCACTGTAAGAAATAACTGCATCTAGGAAAACAAATTTGAAGTGTTATTCCTTTTCATTCAGAGATAACGGGGTTACCAAAAGGCAGTCACAATAACTGGTGGTTAAGAGAAATTTGTACTTGATTTAGCTTGTTTTGAAATGATAATAAAATAACATTTTCTACTGTAACCTAAAAATTATGTATAACTTGGTATGATTTTTTTTACTGTTGTTATAAAAGTGATTTCAGAATTAGATTCTTAGACAGGTGCTCAAGAGAAATTAGCTGTTTGTTCAGTCCATTTTTGTCTTCCACTCAAAACAGCCACTAATTTTACTGAGTTAAAAATTGTCCTAACTTTGAGAGGTCTCAGAGAGAAGCCTAATGACCTAATAAGGAATGATTGACTTTGTTCACCACGTTAAAGGCTGGCTTTTAAATCTGAAAGTATCCTGGCTATTATGGAAATGAATGGCTGCTACTGTTGAAGTGACAGATGCCAAACAGTCTCCAAGAAAAAAAAACAACACAAAAAATGAACAGTTTCCCAAATATGTAATCTAAAACATGTCATGAAAAATGGAGAACATACACTTAACTTCATATGCTGCGGACCAGATTAATACTTGTACTCTGCGCCTAACACCCATTTTCCATTTGCTCCTATGATTAATGGCACAGCGTCACTCTGCTGTTCCTCACTAACAAGCTGCAAAGAGAACTCTGTTATTCCTCACCTGGGTGGAATCCATAGGCGCTGTGCTGATTTGTGTAGAGCTCAGGACATTGGAGATGCCAGGAATAGGTCTCTGGGTAGCAAAGGCAGGGGCAGGGTGGATGAGAGGGGGGCTGTGCCCGAAGGCAGAGCCAATGCTGGGCTGACGACTCATGAGCTGCTGGTGCATCTGCAGGGTCACCGGGGTGGGAGGGTAGGCGAAGCTCAGGGCAGGGCTGCAGCAGGAGAGAACACAGAAGGTATTCAGGTGCACAGAAGGTATTCAATCCTAAGTTTTAGCTAGCCTAGTTAGCATCTATGTAAGCTGCCCATTCGAGCACACCAGGATACAATAACACCCTATAAATCCCTCTCCGGAGCAGACTGAGATGGCTATGGCAGTAAAGTCGTCTTGTAAAGACTGTTACACTCCAATACAATATTACTGTTTGCTGGCATGCTACGAATATAGGGCTCTCTCTAGAAAATAAATCATACTTCATTAATGTATATATTGTGTGCAGAAACTACTAGAGGCAGGTTATTTGATTTATCAGTGGGTTTTTGAAAATAACAAGTTGCAGCTGCAAAGGATGTCCCTCACCGTGCAAGTCTGTGGTGTCTCTCATACTGAGGATGAGTACGTCACCGGAGCTTATGAGGAACTATGTCCTGATTCGCACATACTGTGAAGGGTGTCTTCCACTAGATCAATTTAAGAAGCGTTTCTCAGCTTTTTCAACAATCAACCAAAATTGTGCCGCACCCATGCACACACATCACTGGCTCAAGCTCATAAGAGCGTAAGAAAGTTCTGCAAAAGAGAGTGGGCCATTCGGGTGACCTTGATCATAATAATAAGCAAAACCTATTTCAATGTTTGATCTGACCTTGCTTTTAATTAGCTAGTCCTTATGTACCATGGCAGGGAATTGATGGCAATGAAACACAGAGCTCTTTCTCAACCACTTTTTATGTCTTCAAACCCAAAAAACTTAACTCATGCCACGTGCCGTTCCCACATGGAGAGCCTTCTGTCTCACGTGTATGCACAAAACTCAGCACTATGGCTATTCCACAAAATGAATATTTGTGAACCATAACTTATTGGTTGTTTTTTTTTTTCTGCTCTACAACTTTTGCAGGCTTCCATGGCAAACCTGTTAATGCATGAAGGTGCTGGGTCAAAGCACAACAAAGTTCAAACTGGAAGATGACTCCCCAGGGTTTATCTTGAAAAAGACTAGGATGTAACGGTCACGTATCATGCCTACTGATCCGTATGGAGGAGGGTATGGACCTTGGTTTTCCAACTGGAGAGAAAATGAACTGATGGGCAACAACGTTTGAACCCTTCTGACTAGTCTTACCCTTTTTTTTACCCCTCAAACTAAGAAATAAGGCACATCTGTATTACAAAAAAAAGGATAAATTATTTTGGCAATAAAACTAAACTAAATACAGTATGTCCAATAGTGATTTTGCCTCCCTCATGTGTGTCTTGTAACAAGGAGTGAACTAGTAATAAAAAGTCAGTTATGAAAAGCACTGTTCTCTCCATAGCTGTCAGACCTGCATTAATTTTCTCAGAAGCATTATCCTGAATCTACCTTGCAAAGAACAGGAACCTGCAACAATACGATGCTCAATCTTCTGAAAATAACTAGCCAGCACATCAGAGGTAAAGTATCATGCAGTGGTTAATTCAATGGAGAAATATAAAGAAGAAACTAAATTTTTTAGCTGTGAAGCCTTCTTTAGGGGTAATCTAAGGAAATTTCTGAATCTAATATGAAGCCTTTTTTGGAGAGAAAAGTTAAATTAAATGCATTACAGTAGGAAGGTTGATGGATCAAACTTGAATTATTTCAAGAAATAAAAGGCTTGAACACAATCATATCAGTAGGCCCTTCATCTCGTTCACTATATTTCTTTTTGGAGCAATTTATTTAAACTTGACGCCAGCTAAGTTGTACCATATGTCTACAGATCTTATTACCAGAGGACCAAAAATCAATTGCTTGGATGTGTTTGGAGTTCTTTGCTTGTCATATCACTCATTTGTTTGTAGCAATGGGACGCTAACCTCATCTAAGTTGTCACCTATAGAATTTCTTTCAGAGCTGTTTAGTTAAAGAAAATGATGGATCAACATTTTCCTCTATAAGTGTTTCGATCAGTGATCAATTTCAGTTCTAATAACTGACAGATACTGATAGGAAAGCAATTCTCTTGTGTACAAAAACCCTTGCATTGAATGTCTATTAATGCAGATTGTACATTTTAATGGCTACCATATATCTGTTGAATATACCCACACTACTGTGGGTGCAGAGAAAGCCATATACTGGTGTCAATTAAAACTGTATACTGTACCTGCAGAGATGGAGCCACATTTTTTACATTTAACTCAAGTGATCTCATTGTCATTAATTATTCTACGTAACATACATTAGAGCTCTAGATATTTTTCTCTTATCAAGCAGAATAAAGAGCATCCATCCATCCAACACAGGTATACAAAGCAATGCATTTATATTTGTATTAATACTTTTTATTAATGATTAATTAATGATTCATTATTAATTGTATTGTTTCTACTATGAATATTTATTTAAGAGCTGTTACAGTAAATATCCTTGCCACTTTAAGGCCTAACATTCAATATACTGTATTAAAACATGAAGTGATCTAAATTTAGCAGGTCCACCCTATTGATTTTAAAGGAATACTGGAAAACATTGGAAGTACAATTTTATTAACTTAAAAGGAGAAGTTCCATTTAGTGTTAAACCTGCTTTTTAACCTATTAATAATAAAGATGCTGCTTTACACAGAATACAACAGTTTTAATTTAACTACTAAAAAGTACAGTCCTTTGCATGCTATCCCAGGTTTCTCCACTGAAACACAATGACAAGTTGTTATAATATATGAGGATGAGAGGCAGTGGCTACTGACAGAAAATGTTCAAGCAGACTCTTCTCTAATTCTGAGTAGTACCTTGTCTTGCAAGACTAATGAATTATCCCCTGTTGTGTTTGTGTGTGCAGCAGGATCATTCTTACTTAACATTTTAATAAGAGGAACAGGTAAAGGTTTATTTCATGCTGAAAAGGAAAGAAAAGAGACACAACGTTTCTGCTGCCCAACCAAAGCTGTGTCTCTTTTCTTTCCCTTTCAGCATGGAATAAACCTTAACCTGTTCCTTGCAGCCTTTGAGAGCCGGTTACCAATGTGCTACTGAAACCACAGTCACCTTCAGTCACAAATACTGTAGCAACTATGAACACAAGTATTATTTATCAAACTTGAAAAATACAAACCCATCTTTAAAAGGTTTTTTTTTGGCAAAATAATTTCAGTTATTTAGTTTTAGTTTTCCTTTCCTTTCATTTGATTTGATTTCATTAGATTTGTTTTCCTTTCAAATCAAAATGTTTACATGCACATTTGCCTGACCATTCTATATCTGTCTGACACATTCATAAAAAATATACAATGTTGACAAAAATTCGACTGCACGTAGAAAAAGTATTTACAAAATTTAGATTTTTCTCTGCATAATTGCACAGGTAATTTAAAATGTTAACAAACAAAACTATAGAATTGTGCATTTTTATTCCGAGCTAATCTGTATATTTCAGCTCTGGGTTGTTTAAGATACACGTTTTACATATATTAATTAATGAAATATTGAACTATTTTAAAACAGTTAATGTAGAGAGAGAGAGTTGGATATTAAAATATAAGGACTTCTTACATGAACAGTTTCATTTAATTTAAAATATATATTAATGAGATGAGGAAAGATATACTGTAACTTATTGAAGAACAAAGGAACAAAATAAACACCAAGATAATGCTGAATTTCTTATACTAATTTCAAGACAAATTCATTTACTGAACAGTATTCTGATCTGCATATGCTCTTGAAATTCCTGTAAGGGTCTTTTACTGAGCTTTTATAAAAAATAAGAAATAATTTTATTTTCTATAAATCATCTTTTAGAACTTGGAATCCCCCAAAAAATTATGCAGGTTTTTCCAACACAAAACTTTACACATGTTTAATTTAAGACTGTATGAACAATAACAATTGGTTCTTAGATATACGATTCCTGCTTAAATAAACTGTTCTTTATATTTACATTTATATTTGTTTAGAGAACAAGCTGATGTTTAACAGAACAATGCCAACACAAATCTCTTCCCAACCCCAAAGGCTGAAAGAGACAGATTTCCTCTTTACATAGACAAACTACTAATGTCAGCGCACCAGTCCTCAGCTATAAGGTCAAAACAAAGCAGTCTGTTAATACAGCCTGTTAGTTATCATCTGTGCTGCTCACAGTAGCCATGAAATATTATGCAGTAGTCCAGTTAAGGTAGCTTCTGTGCTTGATTGAAAGGACATTAATCAGAAGATGCATATCAGACTGGAAAATTTGTTCACACGCTTTCTCCTAATAGCAGATTTCATGTTCACTGAGCGCCACGCCAGTTTCTTCAATTTATTTTCCAATGTGCTGGCTATTTATCACTGCACAATCAGCCGGGTATGCGTCTCTCTCCTTCTTTCTTTCACACTTTTATTAAGTTCCATTCCAGACACACAGGCACTGCTATTTGCATGCTGCTATACCATGTGAGATTTATATATACATCCTTCCTGAGGTCCTGACACAAACACTTCATGAATTCAAATGGTCAGATCACAAGGCTAAACAAAAAACACCTAACGTGTGAAATGCTAGCAATTATGTTGATCTATGAAAGGTATAATTTAGCCTCTGAAGTTTCCTGATGTCGGCTTAACGAAAATGAACTGTCCTGAAGTTTTCTTCCTCAGCTTTCATGAATAATAAAGGCTTGTATTGCAGAATGGTCACATAAACATGAAATAAACAGAATCGCCTTCCAGACAGATTTGCCTCCCTTCAGCAGTTTAAATGGAAACTTAATAAGTTTTTTCTCTCCTTGTCATTTTATAACTTTCTCTTGTGTGACAACATTAGCAATTAAGCTGTATCTTGGTTTGCTCAAGGATCTTCATGGGTGACATGCATATTAGTTTTAAATTTCTTAAGTTTGAATATGTACATTAAAACTATACTTTGTAGGTAAGCAGGTTGACTATAACCTTTAATGACCCTCAACAAGAATTGTACAGAGGTTGACATCCAAAACCTTAACTCCTGACATGCCTGTAGACGTTCGCATATGGAACAAATCAAGAACAGACAACTTTTAAGATACAACTTTTCATTTTAGTAAATTATACCTTCATTATGTTTCTTGTTGTGTGTAATACAGAAAGGGAAAGTGAAGTCTTAATTTGGTTGCTTTTTACTTAAAGGTTACTATATCTTCTCATTATTTTAAGATGTAGTGAATGAAACAAAATGAAGAATATAAATGAAAGCCATGAATGTTCAAGAGAGATGGTTTACCTCTTGTGAACCCTCTTGCAGAAAAACAAATTAAAATATTTTCAAAAAGTTTTTCTTATAAAATAGTAGGACTGGACATTTGAATTGTTGCTCTGTTGCAAAATTTCAGAATTTGATTTATACGTTGAATGTGAAAAACACAGCAGAAAGAAATAGGGGAAATATCTTCAGCCATCTCCAGCAGCAATGACGGACCTAAATCCAAAAAGCTCTGGTGATATTAGGTGCTAATATTATAGATGTAAAAGGCTGGAAGAGCACCAGAGGTTCATACAGGAACTCAAAACAGACTGTCAACGGGTCAGAGATTTCAGGATGTGTGTAGTTCAGGATTATGCAAATTCTCAAATATGAAAAATTAAAATAAAATCTAAACAGAGGTATCACAGTAGTGTATCGGTTCTGCATTCATTTGCATTCATCGGTTGTGCCCTGCACTTTCCAAAACGTTAAACGAATAAAAATAATTCCTAAATAAAGTAGGGTGGCAAGGTGCCATGTTGGGTAGCATTGGTGTCTTGCAGTGCTGGAGCCCTGCGTTCAATTCTGGACCTGGGGTGCCATCTGTGTGGAGTCTGTAGGTTCTCCTTGTGCTTGTTTGGGTTTCCTCTGTGTGCTCTGGTTAAACCCAATTATAGCTAAATAACTATAATTGTTGCTATTATACGTATAATACTATAATACAACAGTACCACTATTGTGCGAATGAACTGCAAGAAAACCATGTAAAACCTTCATGTTATATATCTTTATATAATTTTTATCACCTGCTAGGTTAGATCAATTCATACCTGATGTGATTCCAAAACTGACAGATCAATGTTGTATGAAAACAGACTTGATGTGCAAGTCGAGGCAGGTACTTTTTTATTGCAAGGCAATTTACGTAAAATGGGATGACTGATCAGATGCAGTGTGCAAAGGCCTGAAGTCAGTTCTCATCATTAGTCTCTTACGGGCAGATCAATTACTCAGGGATTATTTTACAACATAAGTTAATGTTCATTGTAGGCTAGGCCGAGAGCGCCACACTCATGTCAGATGTGATGGGAGAAGGCTGCAAAAGAGAAAGACTCCTACTAGGTTTGTTTTATCCACGTCTGCATCTTATATTGATAAACCTTTGCTCTACAGACATGGAGAAAAAATACTGGCAGTTGCTGCATTCTGCTGCTCTTCAAAGAAGGCAATGTAAAAGGTACCAGCTGACAGGAACTGTTCAAGAGGTGCTGCATAGACAAAAAAATTACTCTTGTCTGGGTAAAACCTAGTTCTTACCTTATTGTCCCTGCAGATAAGTGCCCATATGAGCCGTTTGTGGAGGAGCTGCTTCTGGAGTTGTTCAGTATGGTTACCAGGGAATTGGGAGATGTCCTTATCATGGTCTGAAGATCAAAACTGTGGTCTGAGAGAGGAGAGATAGGCAGGGCTCTTTTGCGACTTGGTCTTGCTGTGAGTCTGGGGCTGGGAAATCTTGAACCTGTTAAAAAAAACAATACTCAGTGCGAAAATTGTGTCCTGTCACAGCAACACCTGACACATTTTAAAAGATATCAGACAACAGTAAAGTAACTGTTGCACTACTCCAACCAATGAATTCATTGTACAGATTTAATGATCACTTAATTTATTCGTATAAACGAGACTTGACCCAACAGGCCACTGGTGTGCTTATCACTCTACCTCAACTAAAACAGGAAAACCCCTCCAAGAAGATTTTTTTTTTTAAAAAAGCTACGTAATTATATTTTCTGCTATTAGCATTAAATTCCTTCCAAACAGAGATAAGTTTTGTACAAAAGTAATGTTTTTTAAGCTTTAGAATTGCTAGAAGGAAATGTAGTTTGAAAAACAATTTAAAACTGAAATATTAGATCCAGCAAAGAAATCTTAGAATGAGATGTTTTAATATACAATGATAGACAATTTTAATTTCAACAGACAGGCTTCAAAATATAATTATAATGTCTTATAAATAAAAAAAAACATACTGTACAATATGAAATGTGTTTACACAATAGCAAAAATGTCTGTAACAATATACTTCAACAGTTTTCAATGCAATCACATTTCTTTCAGCAAACTTTACTTTACTTCTTCAGACAGTTTGAGCAATTATCTTCACAAATGAATTTGTGTTTTTACCTGAACAAGTGATGCACACATTTATATCTGTGTAATCACAGAAAAAGTCACATTTTAATGTTAAAAACATGGATAGAGGATACGATTTACAGCTTCAGAGCTACAGGCTACAATCCAAGTGGTCTTTCTATAAAAATGGTCCCTCTTGGAGTTCATACATATTATTTTCCCTTTTTGTTCAGTGCTCTTCGACCCATTCATTCATCACAGCAAGCAAAAGACTAGTTCGATCTTTAGACAATTTTACACGGCTTTCCAGTCGCCTAGCGGGGCTCTAAGGTGTGATTTTAGAGCATCTTCCATTGTTCTATAAGTACTGAGCAGCATGAGGAATGGCAGTGAATTTGACTGTGAAGACTGTAAGATACAGAAGAACCAAAAGCAACCAAACTGGTAAATGTACTTTATATGATGAACCTTTAAACATGCTTCATTTTGGGATGTGCTGCTGGACACAAAGGTTACCTAGTGTCCTTTCAATGTGATAGTTGTCTTTTTTAGTCAGAATGTACATGTTTAAAATAAGCTTGCCAAAAACTGGTATAAAAGTCCATTGTTTTTTCTTATTTTTAAAACTCATAACAAAAAACAAAAAAAAGCAGATTCTAGTGAATGAAACAGTGGCCCTGTACTGGGTACTATGAGAACTGAAAAAAAAGCACCTTTTGCAATGGTCACATGTCTACAGCTTTACTCTTCTATTACACATTAGTATGATGTTTGCGTGTGTTTGCTTTGTAGCTGTTATATAATCAAGAGATTATTGATTTTATTGATTGTAAATGTACTAATTTCAGATATATTCAGGGTTGACTAACACAGCTTTGAACTGTTTCCTGGTGATTAATACGCTTCAGTAAAACAAAATAAGGTGCCAGAGAACTATACTTGCAAAGGCTATTATAATATTAGAAAAATGTTACCTATTCATTCATTCAATTACGATGGGCACATCTTTTATTGTATGTGAGCTGATGTTGAAGAAGACATTTAAATACTTGATGCCACTGGGTTTACGAAATGGAAGGACTCTCTGTATCTGTTAACTGTGACACCATTCTGAAGGCCACTCTTTAAATGCAGGTGTTGTGAGTTCACTAATGTACCTGTACAGGCTTGCTAGGTGCTACACAGCTGTAGCACAAAGAACTGTTCTGGCAGCTTCCTGCTCTTCCACACAGCAGGTGTAGGTCAGGTGTCATTCTGCAGAGCATCATGAAAATTCCTCATACAAGGAGAAGAGGCCATAAGAGTGACGATCTCTAACAAGTGCTGGAGTCTCCACCTGTGATCTACTAGCTGCAATTGTGGGAAATTAGGGAGAGGAATTTATCTTCCTATGGTTAACCTCAGGGGAGCTCTGTTTATTAATGTATGTGCAAAATGATAAATTGCTAAACAAAAAGAAAAGGCTTCTATGTATTATCCCTCTCATTTTCCTGTGATTTATGAATGTGATGGCTGCTAAGACACTCACATCATTAATTCACCGTGAGGAGGCAGACAGTGGTAGCACAGACCTACGATACCATTAAAGCCAGAACTTCAGTCAAATGCATGGAACAAAAATATAAAAGGCCACCTGATTGGTGAGCCCATCCTTAACATGGGCTGAACAGCTACTTAAATAAATTAATCTTAAGATTTCCTTAAATAACTTAACATGAAATCTTAACGTGGAGTTCCAAATTACAAAACTTATGGTTTACATGATTCAGTAATAGAATAGGTTGTCTTATGTTAGGAAAAATGGGGACACTTCATAATAAAAATAAAGAATAATGAATCAAACAAAATCAAGTTGTGATGCCATCTAAGCACAGTCCATTGTCAATGACTGCAACAATGTGTAAGTAACATTGTTGTGGAATAGATGTTAATTGCAATAAAATAATAAAAAAACACAATGGTGTGTAAAGAGATGCCACATGTCATTAACATCATACAATATAAGACTTATTTATGTCTTTACTAGTCTTTGTACTTCTAAATGGCTTCCAGCTCAATATTCCTTCAAGACAAACATGCATCTGATTAAAGTTAAGGACACTGAGCCCTGAAAAATGTGATATTTTTTCATTCATATAATATGTATGATTACATACTACCAATAAATAAAGAATCCAAATCTTGCTGCAATTAAAATATTTTTGCTGTTATGACATTTTCTATTTCGGAAATACTCACCAGGGGAAAAATGTGTTCTATTTTTGAAAGGTGGTTTGAAACATTTCAGTTTAATTCATAAAACAAAATGCAGACAGAAACAAATGTTTCCAATGAACAGCACTGTCATCAGGTTTATACCTAACAAGGTTTAGTTAGTTGGAGTTAGTTGGCTAAAGCAGTAAAATTTCTAAGTTCTAAGTTTATGCCATGTTTTAATAACTAACGTTTGAATAACATCTTTCTGATATTAAGATGGTACTCAAGTACTGTAAGTATCTTGAGTTTCTGGTGTGAAACCATTTTAGAATACTCCGACTGTATTTACCCCACTATGATAAATAGTTAGATCAGCTAAATTTATCTTTAGAACAGAAGATAATTAAACTAGTTAGTATGTCACAAATGAGTACTGGAATCAATAGAAATCTGTTGCATTTTAACACTTCTAGGTGTCTATCACTGGAACCTACATTAAAAAAGTTGCCAAGATTTAAATTGACCCTTTTTTAGATATTGGATATGATTTTGAAAGGTTATTGAAAATGCATCTCAAACCACCATCTGTGGTTACTCAAAATACAACGCAGGCCACAGATATTATTGTCAAGTCAACTAGCAAACAGCCTCGGAGGACAACTGCTAATATTTTTTGGGACCACATATCTAATGTTCAGAATCACCACTGCATCATATTCTAATTGCATTTTCCATAGGTTTATATGTATCAAGTTTGAACTTAACTGGTTAAACTGTTTTTGAACATCAGCAGTTGTGTGTTGCACTTTCATTTTCAATTCTGACATTTTGTTACACAGTATCCCATTGTTTTGAAAATTGTATCCTGTTGTAAAAAAGATAATGCCTCCCACCTTTGGAGTTAAACACTTAAAATGTCATGGAACAGGATAAGTCTGAAATTTAGAAACAACATGTAGGTCAAGTCACCATTTTGGTTTATACAGGACCTCATTTTGACATATTTTAATTGTTTAATCACTACAATTGTACCAACTTAAGAAACGTATCAATACAAATCAGATAAACCAAAAATAGAGAGAGAATTGTTCCGTAGCAATTTGTGAAGAGGGTATCTGAAGCAGTCTGAAGTGTGGATGAAATCTTCCAAGCTTGAATTCAATTAGTGCAGTGGTTACCAGTATGTTTTTCAAAGCATGGGTCATGCCAACATCCTGAATTGATGTCGGGCCAGAGGTAATGTTTTGACCAGGGATAATTTGTTTTGACCAGGGATAATTTGAATTTTGGGAAGAAAAAAATATAAATCTGCGAGCATGTTTAAAGGTTGAAAGTTCCACTGTTATGCCACTATTACATCAGCAAGGCTGTTACAGAATACATTTTAAGACCAATCAAAATAAGGAATTGAATATTTTTTTTGTGTGTCTTCACCCACATTAAAAACATGATACCCAGATAGAGGTCCCTGTTATAAAATTCTGTAGTAATATGTTTATATGACTGTGACATGCTAATTAGCAAGTACTTAGGATGATACCTGGTAATTTTGTAGTTGATCACCTTCATCATGTTCGACCTTTTATGTTCTGAATGCCGGAGTACAAACTACCAATGACCCATACTGGTTTACACTGGATTTTGGCCTGGAAGCCAATTAAGTTACAAAAATAAAAATTATGGGAAGCTTGCAGACATTTATGTAAAAGTACTGGAACTGATTCAGAATCATTGTTTAGAATTAAGGTTTGGTAAAAAGCCAGACCCATTCTTCCACCAATCATTAAGGCACAAATGAAGAGCTTTCTGAGCTCTTGAGAATAGTTTCCCATCACAGCCCAGTGCAACTACCAAAGAGGCAAAGCTTTGGCTCATCATACACTGGAAGTCTGGCTGCCTCATCCACAGACCTACTGTAGGCTGTTATCCCTCAAGCCATGATGGTTAAAGCAAAACATGTTTTAAAATGCTTACATTTTTATTTCTTTCATTTACCTGGGATTTTGTCTGTATCTCCTCCATCACGGTAAATGAAAGATATCTGTCTTAAGTTAAAGTGTAGTTGGAGCTAAATATGACCCCACAAAACAAGGAAAACATTGTGAAATATTTGTTTAACATATAGGCAATAGGAAGGAGAATAAAGAGTTGACATTAAAAGTCAAATGAAACTACTGTTTTAAAACAAGTCTCCATTTAACCTTGTCATACCCTTTTCCATTTTAATTATTTAGGTTATTAAACTGATTTTGGCCAGCAAAATTCTGGCTAACAACCCTAAATACACATTATATATCACCATTCATTCTTGCAGGGAACTTTAAAGTGTTAATTTTCTAACTCAGAACACACATTGTTAAAATATGCAATGAATTATTACCAGGGATGATCACAGACGATTTATTTGAAAAAAAAGCCAACATCTCTATTTAAATTTTCCCTAATTGTTTTGTTTCAGTCTATTAATCTAAAACACTGACACAGAAGAAAGGATTTCTACATTGATGAATGGTGGGACATTCCAATTCCCACTTAATAGCAATTAATTTTCTGATACCCATGCAACTTTAGATAGTTTTAATTAGTTTGTACAGAGTAAAAGGGTAACTTCGCCCCCTATTTATATAAAAGCTGCAACTGCCTGACTAAATACATTCTCATCAAATAGAGGGAGGTGAGACGGCTTGACCTTCCTAAGATTCACTGTGCGTTTAATTTCCTATTTACACTTTAAAATAACTCATTAGCATATTACTGCTATGCATTTTCCTACATAGCACATTAAGACAATACCTAATTTAAATGCTGTTAGTGCATTTTTTTACTCCACTTAAATACTATTGTTAATTATGAAGCCTAATGCAGTTGAGGCATGGTTACAATTTGGCTACATTTTAATGTTTCAATTTTGAACTCCTCCCTAACTAAACACTAAATATTGTATGGTGCACACAACACTCAAACTGTATTTTGAGGAGAGACAAACAACAACACAACTGTCTGATGAAAATTCCAGACAGCCAATTCAAAACATCAAACATTGCTCATTACTGTATCTGTGCAAATTGTTTAACCACTAATGGTAAAAATAAATAGCAATATAGTAATCCTAAATGATAAATAAATGACAGAATTAGTCTAACAAATTACCTACAATTGAACTTTCAATCACGTTTAACAATATAATATACAGTATATTAATATAAGCAGTGATTTTATAAAATTGAGCAGCACCTACTTTCCCTTGTGCTCTAGCAATCAGTTAAGTTTACTACAGTTATATTTAATTCAGAAGCAAAACTGTAATTTTTTATATTCTGCTTAAAAATCTTAAGACCATACAAGTCACAGATAAAGAGTTCTGTAACTTACAGAACACAAGTAAAAAGTTATACTGTACATTAGAAATATTATTTCAATAGAGCAAATGGTTAAAGCAGTGAGCTTGATACCAGAAGAGTTTGTAAGTACAAGTTTAATGAAAAAGAAGCAACAGTACCCCTTTTAGGTACATTCTTGCTTTGGTTTAGTTGTGACATTCATTGCTAAATAGTTTACCATGTTTATAAAATACTGAAAACTGTATTTTGGTTTGTAGCAAATTTCCTTCCAATCATCACAATATTGTGGTAGTACAATCTCAAAAGAAGATATTTAATATTTTTAATTAGATATTTGTGAAAAAGGGTTACAACAGGCGCATAATTTGGAAGTTTTATTTCCTCACTAATATTGTATCCGTTCAATTTATGTGCACAGATTTGCCAAGAACTGTATTAAATCTTCAGTAAAAAAAAAGTTTACCGTTTAAAACATCAAACTCCTAAGAAAACTCAGTTACGTCATTGAATAGTAGTATTGACCCTTAAGGTCAATATTACAATGTAGAATCAATATTTAAATTTTTCTTTTAACTGATCAAATGTGTATTTCTTTAATAAATGCAAGGCTTTGGTATCTGCTTTAACTGAGTGAAAGTTCCTTCTTTATTAAAGACTAAAAAGCTGTCTTGTTCCAAAGCAACTTCATTTGGTTACTTTAAGATGGGTGTAGCTTCCTAGTGATTTTTATTTTTCTGCACACTTGTGCAGTGAGCAATTGGAGAGGACAGCTGAACTAATTTCCCAGAGTAATATTTTGCCACTCTTTGCTTTTAAGGTTCACGTCCTCCATTTCTGAAGCACCACAGGAACTTAAGAACTGTTTTGTGAAGTGTGCAAGTTTATGTCTCTCACATAGGAGAGCACTGCTGGCTTGATTACTCACCCTCCATTGCCTGCAGGTATTCCATGTGAAGAGCACTGGTCCCAGCCCCAGCTGTTGACGCGACTGATGGGATTATATCAGCGTAGGGGCTTCTGTGACCAGCCAGGAGGGCCATCTGATGGTAATATTCTGCAGGGGTAACACCAGAATGGGGAGCTAAAACAAATTTAAAAAAATAAATAACTGATTAACTCATAAAAATAAAAGATTGTCCCAGGCTCCCTGCTTGATGATCACTTCTAAGCCAGAGCTTGACTTCAGGAGAAGTCAATGATATACTGTATGAGAGATACTATGTTTTGTCTGAATTCTGTGTTACTTTTTTCGTTAAAATGACTCTGGATCAAGCTAGTGATGATCCCCACGGTGTTGTCATTTTCAGCAGCGATGGTGTAGATATTCAACCTGCACTCCCTTCTGCTCACATTCTTTGAACGCTGCTTAAGACAAAGCCCTTCAGATCTGCATACATCAAGAAACAGCAACATATTTTTTCCCCTTTTTTTTTCTCCCTGAGTAATAGACCGCTAAGTCCTTGAAATGGTTCCTACAGTCTAAAAATAAAGAGTTGGCAGTGAGTCGTGGTTTGCACATATTGTCACCAGAAATGCAAAAAAATGCTCTATAGTTCTGGATGCAAATGGGAAATCAGTTTAGCTCATAAAGTGTTACGGCTAATTCCCGAGGAAAAAAAAAAGGATGAAAAGCAGTGTTCTAAAGACTGGTCTATATGTGTGCAATATGCATCCCTGATTGGTTCTACAAATATAAGAAAATTCTGAATTAATTTGATTTGGGTATTATATCTTTGGGGGGTGGAATTTTAATTGTCTTCATTTTTCCGCTTAAGTGTGCTTTGGATTGAACTGTTATGTGTCTCATTTTCATTTCAGAGGGAGAGGGCTTTGCTAAATCAAAATGTTGGCACCACGCAGGTTTGTGGTTTCACCAAACAACTTGACAGAAAGCAATAGAAATATGCATTTACATGACAACTTGGTAAGTGTATAGGCCTATAGGGTCTTATCTATAAAACATCACAATAAGTATTGTACTAAAGAATGCACAGAACTGCAAGGCAGACCTAACAGAAAAGGCTGCTATGTAGTTTTCACCGTCTATGACGATATAAACTGGCTGGTTTTTCTTTGGATTAATGTCTGATGGATGTCTTCCTGTTGAATTAAATATGCTGGCCTAAAAACTCCAGCAGCAACTAAAAAAAATGTTAACACTGAATCGCTGCACTTTAATTAAACATGTACAATCAAAACATTTTCTGATCCTATGCAGCTGTTGTAGCTTCTAACGTTAACAATATGTTACTCCAGACATGTTGTTTGTACCGTTTTGGTCTTTATTTACACAAGGAGTCTGATTCAGGCCATCTTCAACACAGACACTGCTTTAAGTTAATCATCTGTGAAGTTCAAAGGCATCTTGGTGCTTTAAGTAATGGATCTAGTGAGTATGCTAGGTTTCAGAATGTCTGCTTGAATACATGAAGGAGTAAAATGACAGCATGCCGTAAAATCATATTTGTTAAATAAATTCACGTCAGTCATTTAGGCAGGCAAGCACCAAAAATGCTCCAAAAGATAAGACAAAGATTATTATTTTAGTGTTTACTAAACAGAAAAATAACGGGCTCACCAAGAACTTAATTTAGTTATGGAAAAACTATTAACCATCAACTGTTTAAAAAAAAAATTAGGCACTGATACAGTAAAACCTTCTCTGTGTTTCTACAGTGAAGAATTGAGGAGTCAGGTGCATTTCCAACAAAATTAGTCAGAAACAAATGTATACAGTACACCCAGGTTGTGCAGAAATTAAGATTTAAAGATGTTGTGCCTGTGTTTCTGCACATCTCATTAACTAGCAAAATTTGATAACTAAAAGTAACTAAAGTAACAATATGTGTTTTAAAAGCAAATTGTAAATTAAAATTATAAACTGGAATTTATCAATCCAAATACAGTAATTATGAAACTGAATTTATTGACCAAATCTCGAACTGCTATACTGTATCTCCTTTCCACAACAAAGGAAATAAAAATAAGATTTTTTTTAATCCTTTTAAAAAAAATATTCTAATAAAAACATGAAAAAAAGACACTTAGAGTTAGCCATTAGGTTCATTTGTACCCATGTAAAAAATAATTTAAAGTACATACTGTATTTATATTTATTTAATATAGCAGAAGTGCTGGTTCTTGTAGTTATGCAGTAGGGTTTTGAAGGTCTGTGGACATTACATACACAAAATGGTTTATACTGAAAAGCTGCCCTTGCTGACTGATGACTGAAACAAAGAATAACTTGTCTCAAACAGATGACACTACGCAGTTCATGGTAGCAGCTGCTCAGGGAAAAATATAAACATGGAAATGTTTTATCAAACAGAAGTGGTGTCCTGGATGTAGGAAGACTGAATCATCTCCAAACATGAACTTCAATGGCAAACGTCAGTTCCATACAGAATTTAATGCTCTCTTGCTTTGCTGACTCATACCTGTTTAAATGCTTTGTTTTTCTTCCACAAAAGCAAATGGTTCTTAGCAAATCAGACTATAGAGACAAATGCTAGAAAGGCAAACCTCTTCTAACACTGCTTCTTGTGCATATCTGTTGCTGAATCTTTTGAACAGCATTGATTGATTTAGACACATAATATTGAGTTTGTATGTCTCTGTGATTGTAATGGTAAGGGAAAAGAAGGTATGGTGGTTATGAATAGATGTTTTCTCCAGAAAAAGAAAGTCAGCACTCAGTTAATTAGCTTAGGTTCGCAGATGCAAGGTATGGTGAGAAGTGCCCACATTCATCCTCAGAAATCCACCCTCCTTCTCCCCCCAAAACCATACTTCAGAACAATTGTTTCAGCTCAGGAGAAGCCTGGACAAAAGGAAATGCAGCACACAGATGAAGTGCAGTGAAGTAGTGTGCATTAGGTCATTGCTTTTCCCTAGTAGTAGACAAATCTGGTATCTTTCCAGAAGCACTTAAAATACTTCCTGAGTGTTCTTACAGAAGTGTTTGGATTAACTAATAATAACGAATGCACTGTGCTATATAAGGAAAAATCACCAGCTTATTGAAATGACCTAACTGCTTTCACTTAGAATTTAAAAACAACATAAATTAGCATTTTATTAGAATGATTGTTTTGATTGTTTTTCCCTTATGCTCATTATTCAACAGCTTTAGCCGACAGTTGTTAAACATCCAGTGCTAGTCTCTTTGGATTCCTAAAAGTCGAAAAAAAAGTAACTTTAGTCATCTAGAATTAAATAATAGGACCATTAGGAAGGGAACATTAATTTTGATATTTTCTGAATTCTGACTAAAAAGTTCTGTCTTAATAATTCTGAGAAATCATATAAATGTTATCTTATATAAAGTTTCATTATTGGTCACGTCTATGTCTGTAAATCATAGCCATTACTTGCACATCACAGATCCAATTATGAAAAAAAAACTGAATAAATGCAGGTTTGCTCTCTTAAAATATACAGAAATCATTCCTGAGAAATCCATGAATGTTACTGAAAAATTATACAAGACTGATCTCTTAAGGACTTTTTCTACCGTAATTCATGACTTGGATAAGATTAGAAGTTCAAATAATTAACAGAAAGTTTTCAATATTTTGTATCTACAAAAACATAAATGAAATACATCTTCATGCGTCACCACTAAATCATCAGCTTCTGAACAACTGGAACATGTTTGACCACTTAAATAGGTGATTTGTTCAATTTAGAAACGAATAGTATGAAATGAAAAGACCAACACCCAATTGCTCTTAAGGAGCACACTTGGCCATTCCTGACTTGCAGTGACCAATAAGGCCTGCTGGACTGTGGCTCTCCAGGTGTCTGTCTTATGAAAGGAGTTTGCACCAGGGTCTGTTTATAAACAAATCTCCTCTGCAAGAATAAAACGCCGACCAAGCCAAGGAATGCGTGTACCTGGCGCTTTGTTTGTGGTCGGGGACTATCTCGGATGGCCTTCACCTTGTCTACTTGCGGTCGTATCTTTCCTTTGCCTATTTTATACTCCAGGTGATTGATTTCACTTTCTGCCTATTTTTGCCCATTCACTTTTTGCACATTTCTCCATATTAAGAGTAAGCCCTGCTGCCACAATATTGCTTAGCACTCTTTCTAGGTGTTCCAGGTGTTCCTCCCATGTGTTACTGAAGTTAACAAGGTTATCTAGATATGCTGCTATCTTCTCACATCCTTCCAAAAGCTTATCCATTAATCGTTGGAAAGAGGCTGGGGCTCCATGAAGACCAAATGTCATGACCGTAAATTGTTTGGCTAATTTAGCCTCACATAGTTCAGTTATGAAAATGAGTGATGAAATCCCAGCATACTTGGGGTTAGACTCAAAAAGCACTGATCGTTTCTTATCAGATGCGATCACAGCACAGAACAAGCAGCTCTTAATGATGTTCAACTGGAGTGAGTGTGCTGGAAAGAGACTTCTGTGTTTATTCAAGACCTGTTCATTACAGATCTTGTCTCAACACAAGCGGTCCGGAGTATGTACTGTGAGTGAAGAGAAGTGCGGCTAGCACAGCTGAAACTCACCGTCGGTGGGACTCAGTCCTCTGGCGGCAGAGATCATGGACAGGGAAGGGCTGCTGTGAAGGGACCTGATGTAGTCCATGTAAGGGTTGATGTATGGGTGTGGGGGGTTGAAGGGAGACTCTGCACCCACTGAAGGATTCCTATGGGGCGAGATTCTGATAAGAGAGATATCAGAAAATGCCGGACTGCTGGGAAGACCAGGAGGCCTGCAACACAGGAAAAAAAAAAACGCAAGTCAGCTACGTTTTGTACAGCCATGTTGTGCGTCGACACTATTTGAAACTTCAGTCTACGGAATACATATTACTGAATTGTTGAATGGAATACATGCATCGGAAGTATGCTAAAGTGCACAGCACAACCGTCATTCTGAAAAAGTCAGGAAAAACTATGTGACAAAGATGTTCAGGAAAGGCATATGGCTACTTATTACAGTGGTCCAGTACAAAAAATACTGGCACTCCTATTCACATCAGTCATTTTCAGGACAAAAAAGAGATAGAATGGGATCTAAATTGCTTAATGCTTTCTGGATGATAGCGTTTTTGAAATTTTCTCAAGATCAAAGCCAGCATCAACAGGTGAAACACTCCCATAAGATGCAAGAAGAAGTTCAACTCGATGGATGGGGCCATTTTGATTCATATAATTCTTCTTTAATGACTGAGTAGAAATTTTACATGACTACACATGTGAGCAATCCCAGAGAGCAAAAATGTTATTAGAAACATCTGTGTTTGCGCTTGTAATTCTGTAAATTGTTTTGTAACATATTGACAAAATCACCTGTGTATAAACTGAAAAAACAATCCTTTATAGGACTGAAGATTACTACATAAAACTGACAACTGCTTCTGCAAAAGGTAAACAATTCTAAGTGGCTAGCATTTGTGTTCAACAAGATAGCAGCTCAACATGTATATAGCATCCTTCAAAGCTAATTCCCATCCAAAGGTCCTGTCTCTTTTGCCACTATGTTCAGGGTAATGCCTTTACTAGAAGTTTTCAAAGTATTCAGTAATTCGACAGTAATTTCTCTATACAATATATTCAAAGGCAAGGGCTCAAGATTACATGAGAGCTTATCTGAAGAAATAGATTACTAGTATAGTCAAGAGTTTGGCATTAAGTGACCTTAGCAGATGCCATGGGACAGGGATAAGCAGATTATACACATGAACTTCACCCAAGTTCCAAATGACCCTAAACATGTGTATTAAAGCTTTACATCTGAAAGCACTTAGGTCTGGTCAAATACAGGAAGCCAACAGCCAAAAATGGGATGAAAGCTTCAGCACATTCTGTGATTTAGGACACACATACTGCTTTACTTTACTGGATCAGCAATTGAGAAAAAGCAATCAACACTACAGAATTATAGTTGGCCAAGAAATAACAAAAGAAAACAGTCAACTGCATGCAATGGAAGAAAAACTTACATGTTGTCCACAAAGGGAACCTTGTTAATAATGGCAGCTGAAAACAGCTGCATATTAAGAGATAAATAAACTGTAACAGTGAGTAGGACTTTAGAATGTCCCATAATTAGCATTCTACAAGTACATATTCAGCATGTATTTCTAGTCATGTAGCATTCCTTTACATTTAATTTTGGCCAGTTTGCTGTTTGTAAGTTATTAATTTGCATCAAGGCTTCTACGGGCTTTTTGTTCCAAATCATGGAAAACTTGACAAGTATTGTATTGTTATGAAGGTATAGTGAGCTGCAGTACTAATTAATTAGGCTACAGCTACAGAAGATTAAAAATACTACAGTCACCTTTGAAGATGAAAACCTTAATTTCCTCATTTGTTTTCTTGTCCAGTGTCACTACTCCGCAGTACATTTATATACATCTCCTCAAGCTCACATACGAATGAGCGTCTGTTGCAATACATTTGAAGTAACACACCAGAGAGATGTATAGGCTCATGGGATTGTCAGAGTCAAACTGATGCTGAAGAACCAAGTCTGTGACTCTTAGTAATGTGCTACTAGAAATGCTCCCTGTCAAAAAGATTCATTTGCATATTTATAAATATAACTATAGAAATGACACAGGATATTAAATAAACAAGGGAAATGAGATTAAGAAATGCATTTTGAATGTTCGTTAAACCTTCAAAGCTCTTAATGAAGATGCCAAAGTCTTCCTGGTTAGAAGAGGTCCAGAAATACTGCTATTATTAAATATCGGACTAGATGTGCCACAATTCTGATTTGATAGGCGGAATAGGCTCCTCTAATTCTTAACCTTTTCTCATGCTTGTTAATAGCTTGATAAAACTCAAAAGGCCTTCTAACATCTGTTAACTGAACTCACCAAAAAACATCACAGCTCATGTTTTCTATTTCTAAACTGGATCAGGTTCAAAATAAATCACTATACTTTATATATTCTGTCTACGCCAAGTATTGATGAAATTAAAACTGAAATATTTTTTAATATAATGGTAATATATATATATATTAACTACAATTGTAGGGGCCACAGTTAAAAAAGAATACAGATACACTCTAAAGAAGGACACAAGTGTATTGTCTGACCCTCCAGGAACAAGTTACCATAGCTAAATCTCTTTGGTTTAGAACGAGAGACTGAATGGTGAATTGATGCAAGTACTCAAAATCCCTGAAGATCCAGAGTGAAACAGGACCAGAGTAGAAACTGATAAAGACTCAGAACAGGAGGAACTTGTCTGTGTGCAAAGGAACATTTACAACAAGCTACAATCACTTCTTCCAAAGAGGCTGGAAAAGGACCTTAAATAAGTAATCTCCTCGCAAACAAAAAGCTTGATGGGCTATTTGTAACCTTCTTAAGAAATAATGTGAAACATGCTTGTCAAATTCTCTTTGAAATCTGCATTGTTGTATTTTATACATTAATACTATTTTTAATGTGGGAACTACATTGAAAACCATAGCAAAACAATACAGATACATTCATTGCTATACAAAGGATATAATCTTTTTTTGCAGTAAAAATTGCTCTATTGCTAAACTGCAATCACCGTAAGAGTTTCATGTGAAGCAATTCTTCATATTATAGAAAAACTTTATTTTTTAAAGTGTAATAATTGACTATTTTCATTGGATACATTAACATCTTGTAGCTCTTAACACAGGATAAAGGACCATTCATGATAAAGGTCTAAAGGTCTTCTTTTCTAATAGAAAATGTATGGCCTTCAGGCCTTCATAAGCTTAATGGCCATAAAACTTTAGAAGTCAGTCTGTGTAACGTCAGTGCTATCATTACTACAATATTTCAATCAGGATCAAGGTGAATGTTAGATGATATGCTGGGATGGTAGCTTGCGATGTAGGCTTATTACTTGTTGGGGAATCCTACAATAATGCACTCTTTTTAATATATTGGTTTAAAATCTACTAAGCATGCAAATGTCTCCATAAAGGTAAAAATGTACTGGTAGTTGTTACTGAGGCAACAACAGCAGGCTGCAGTCTGAAGATAAGCCAAGACCATCTACACCTCTCCCATCAGCCCCTTATGATATGCAGTGTTTACACTGTGCAGTGAATACCTGTGCTCAAAGCAAGCATGCCAGTGTGCACATACTGTATCTGCCTTTAAAGCCTGCATACTGAGACAGAGAGTAGCTACACACTCTTCAAAATGAAAGACAGCAGAAAAGGCACAGAACTGAGATGTAAGAATATTTTAATTGTAGCTCATAAAGTCTATAAATTGCAATATGTGACTGCACATTAATTCAAATGATTAGGTAATTATAGTACAGAACAGGGCCCTTTGTGGATGTAATTGCAGATGTTTATTGAAACAACAATGTTTTTCTCAGTTCTATCCCTGTTAACTACATACAGTATTTGTTTCTAAAGACACTTTACAGACATTTAGGCCATAAGATAAATGCAATAAGCCTTCAAAAATAGAAATAGCATTTAATTATCTGCTATAATCTTATTGTCAGTTGCAAGAATAACTTCTATTTGTTTTCTGAAGTATCATTCATTTTTTTGTGTCTATAACATACATATGTAGATTAATAAAAAGACTGAACAACATTGATGCATTAACAGTGCTCCAGGGATCTATCCATATCAGTATAGACATACCACACTTCTGTGATAATGATTAGATGTGTCATGTGTTAGTTATAACATAACAAGAAGACCACTGCTAAATGGCTTTTGTCTTCTGTTTTTCCAATTACTTTTGCATTTAACAAAAAGGCATGCTGTGAAAAAAGCAGGGAATGTGTTCCAGCAATTCTGGTAGTATAAAGGCTTCCTGACGTCTTGATCATCTGGCTTGCAGTTTAGCGTAAACCATGATGGACTAGCATCTGATAAAAGCAAAAGTTCTGCCTAGTTATCAGCTACAAGGATGTAATCACAGTTACACCAGATTTAAGATTTACATCAAAGTTCCACCCTCTGCTTCTGAGGGTCATGACACAGTGCAATACATTATTTTTCTGTTTTCTAATTCTTGTCTATAACTTTATCCTGCAATCTGGATTTTAAACCAGATCTATGTGTCTCCTCTCAGCATATGGAAACCATTTTCTGTTATAATATAAGGCTTTTCTGGTTTAGCACCAAAGCTATTTACAGATCCTTAAAGAAAATGCATGTTTATATGAAAGGTTTAGTGGGTTTGGGGTTTTCAAAAATACTTTTTTTCCCTGTGGATGTCTGGGAAAGTCTGTTTTAAAATTTTGAAAAGAGAGCATGTTCATGTTAACCATCTATGAGCAGGCATTAACCAATGTTCAGGAAAAATAAAAATATAAAAAATAATTTAGAAAAACATTTATAATAGAAAATATGCACCTTTTCACTCTGCTAAGATAATTTGAAAAATGTCTGCAATAAAATATGCAACCAAACACCGATAAGATCAAAGTTTTCCTTATGAACTTATGTGTCAGCCTGTTGATTGTCCTGCACTAAGTCCAGCTCCTGTTGTAATTATTCATCAAAGACTTGCATTAAAAGCTCATATTCACACCATTGTGAAATTTATAATCTCCATAATATTGACAGCACTGGTTAACATCTATACCACCTACAGGCAGAAAGCTAATGTACACTTTGGTCTTTTCCAGGAAATTGCAATTCAGTGCTTTATCTTTATCTAAGCATGTTCTTTATTGCAATTTAATTTTTTTTCCAAACAGAAATACAACAAAAATCATATTTTCCCTCCTCTACACA